CTCTCATACCTTTTATAATGTCCTTAATTCCTCTTTTCTTAATCTAGTATTTCATCACTTGTAAATGCCATCCCTGTATCCCATTCTCAACTCACTGAGCTGATCCTGCTTTCCCTCTGCCCACTCCTCCCCTATTTCGGTGGTATCATTTCCACTTTGTCCGTGTGCACCATTCACATATTCTTCTTCCACTTGCCCCGCCTTCTATCTTTAGTCTTATATCTAAATATATTCACTACTCATAGCTGTTCTTCTGATGAAACTTCCCCACTTACTTCTTAACTAGATGAAGCTGTCCCTAGCAGATTTCCTCAGGAAGGGTTCACGAACACAGCAGAGCTCTAATTTTAAATTCTTTTTCTATAAACTAGTTCCTTGAAAGACAGCTTTTCTGAATATAAACTGCTTGATTCACACTTCTTTTTCCTTTGAATGTCTTGAAAATGCTGCTCCACTTTGTTCTGGTGTGTGCATTGCTGGTGAGATGTGACTACTTCCCTGCGTCCCCCGACCCTTAGCCTCCTGGCCCTTCCTCCTCCACCAGGCAGCAAGCAGGGGAAGAAAGCCGCAGCGTCCTCTACAGCATAATCCGCACTGTGGGTGTCGGTTAGGGATGATTTTATTTGACGTCGTCATAGGGATGAAGACTTGCAGATTGAGGCAGCCACAACTAGGCTCAAACATCTCTATCTCCTGGGACTAAGGTTTTATGTCCACAAGGAAAGACGGCATCAGGCCCACACATCAGATTAGCACTGTCTTACTGCATCAGTTTTAAGATTCACCTTTTCCACCCACATTATATTTCTGATATTGAAATACATGTTACAACGGATGGCATCTTACAGATCACAGGGGGTTTTGTTCTTTCAGTGGTACGTAAACACACACGGTCCAATTTGCAGAGTCCTGAATTTGATGAAGTACTGCTGTCTTGTCTGCCCTAACCTGCCTCCACACCTCACTCTTCTGAGCTGGAACCTCGCTGTAGACAACAGAAAGGGAGCAGCTGTGTGGTTCTTCCCCCTCTGTGGGCGACTGTGTTGAGTAGAAATGGGCTCCAAATAGTTTCCACGCTGCTCACCCCAGCCACTGCCTTTCTCCACAAGATTACTAGAGCAAGCTTTAGAATCTCTCACTGTTTCTAGAGAAATGTGTAACCTGCTTCAGATCTGAGATGACCGTTTTTTCTCAGCATTTTGCCTCATTTTGATATACATTTATCGTCTCCAGCAGATTTTTTTTTGTGGTGTACATTACTGGATTGTGGTCACTCTACAGTTTTAACAGAAAGACTTTATTTTTGTTTACAGTGTTGGTGTATTTCAAGGATCGAGATTAAACACCGTGTGCTGTTCCACCATCTTTCCCAGGAATGTCTGATTTTTTTTAAGACTTTATTTTTTTTTCCTTTTTCTCCCCAAAGTCCCCTGGTACATAGTTGTATATTCTTCGTTGTGGGTCCTTCTAGTTGTGGCATGTGGGACGTCGCCTCAGCGTGGCTCGATGAGCAGTGCCATGTCCGCGCCCAGGATTTGAACCAACGAAACACTGTGCCGCCTGCAGCGGAGCGCGCGAACTTAACCACTCGGCCACGGGGCCAGCCCCATCTGAACATTTTTTTAAAGTAGCAATAAACATCTAGATGTTGCAATTTTGATTTAGAAAGTATTATAAAAGTAGCTGGAAAGTCACTACTCCTGTCTGTTTATAAAGGTTTCTGATATTTTTCTAGCCCTATGTGGCCAAGATTTAAATCAGTAGGAACCTAGGAAATTTCAGATACTATACATTGAAGAAGGCACTAAGAAATCAAATTACTATCTTTCAAACCTTCCCGTCCTCAGCACACACAAAGAATATCATCCTAGGTTTGCAAAAAAGGTAGAATCAAGAGACTATGCTGTTGAACACATTACATATACTAATAGACTGATTATCAGGAAGGTAGATTTATTTCATTAAAAAACAAACAAAACAGCTTCACCCCCCCGAGTACTGTATATTCCTTTAAAGCAGCAGCAATCACAAGGCACAGATGTACGAAATACCTCAAGCAAAATAGAAACTCAACGTTAAAAAATATGTTATTTAAAAAAGATGTTGAAGATCATTCGTTAATATGAACATAGATTATAAAAATGACATTATTTATTTAGTTTTACAATTGTATTCCTTTACCTTTAATAAGACAATGGTGTAATACTTATGCACTATCTGATGGCACATATCACAGACATTTATACGCCCTAACTTGGTTTGCTAAAGAAAAAACAGATAGCTAAAGTACAGCTAAAATTTTTATTTTTAGCACTCTCACATCCTTCTTAGCTATTTGGAATTCATAAGTTGAAAAGAAAAAGAATCCTCATTTTCATTAGCTTAGAAAAAGCCTGTAGTTATATGTCCCTAGGCAAACCCACTATCCAAAAAAGGACGACATTCAAGATATTCTGAAATCTCAAGGACATGATTTATACTCTGGGATCATCACAATAGCCCCCTTCCTAAAACAGATTAGAAGTCAACACATAATAAATGGAAAGGTCAGTTATATTAAAGTAAAACAGGATCTGACTTAAATTATTGCTCACTTAGGAAGTATAATGACTACTCATTATGGGCAGGGATGCTAAGATTAGCTGTTAGAAATGGTATAACATCAATATTTAGTGTATATAAAAATTCTTGGATTCAAACATATTATAATGAAAAGTCTATAGTAATCGCACAAAAAGTGTTCCTTTCCAGATTAGCCACCACCGAGCTTCACGCGATGAAGACTGGAGAAGACGCGGCTGCCCTGGAGCCTCAGGGACACGCTTCTCCCAGGCCGCAGCGCTGTGCTAAGCTTTCCCGCCGCAGACCCTTTGCTAAGAAACACTAAGGAGTGCTTACAGAACCTTTCCTGCGGGAAGGGAGAGAAGATCAACTGAAGTTCCATTTCAAAACAATGACAACAAAAAAGAATATAAAATACTAGTATAATAAAACATTTAAATAGTACTAAATAGCACAATTTAAATACTAGTTATATGCTATCATTAGTTTTCCTCTTTAAAAAAATCAGTTCCCGGGCTTTTAGATGTGTTTTCTTTTTAAAAATAGCCAGCATCTTTCTCTGGGTCACACACCGAGTCCACATCCACACCGCCTGGTCACACCCGTCAGGCATCCGCAGGCCTCTTGTGGCTCCCTCGGCGGTGACCAAGGCTTGTGAGCGCGCTGTGCGGCGCGCGGCCACCAGGCCACAAGACTAAAGCAGCACAGCCTGGGCCACCTCCTTGATGGTGGCCGCAGCTCGCTCCAGCTCCTCTTCTGTCTGTTCCACGGTGACCACAACCCTAATGCTGAGAAACAAGGAAGGACACAAACCGCCAAGTGAGAGTCTATGCCAAGGGTTGGCTGCCACCTGCCCTGCCGGAGGGCGTGCAACTGGTGCACGGCCCAACCCCCGTGCCCCACTGTGCCCAGCTGCCACCTCAGCGTCCCGCAGGCCCAGGGCGTTCCTCTCTGCTGTGTGTAGAAGCAGCCCGCCGCTCCGGAGTACCGCTGTGCGTGCAGTCAAGGCAAGCACGCAGGGCCTGGGGACGCCAGGAAACTGTCCTTTAAACAATCTGCTGCTTCAAGCAGTACCAGGCTCAAAGAAGGAACTGAAATTTCTCAAATTAATGAGTGGTTTATAATTCAATAAGTCATGTGAAAGTTCTGTAATTCTGTAAGGCAAGGGAGAAGTTACAAGTTTTCAGGAAACTGAAGACAAACAACAGATTGACTAGGTAATCCTACCTCTGCCCCTCACTTCCCTCTGCAAACATTGCTTCACCCACTGGACACATTTATTGACCTGTGCTGTGCTGGGCCTGCAGTCTCAGGCTCACAGCAAACGTGGCCCGTCCGGAAATGCAGCGCCGCACCTCGGGAAGGCGCAAGGAGACGCGAGGGCAGGATCCTCTGGGTGCTGTCGAGTCGCTGTCAGAGCGGCCTTCCAGAACCCTCACCCAGTGCTCCACGTCTGCACAGCGCTCCAAATCCACGTGCTCTCTGGGTCCTCCAGGGGTCTTCTCCAGGCTCCCTCCCCCCGCTGCCTCTCAAACATGTGTCTGGCTCCCCAGATGTGCCTGGAGGCCTCCGCACCAAGGCAAGCCTTGCTGGAAGGCACAACGCCCACCAGGTGCCAACAAGCATGTGTGACACACTGGGTTAGGCTGAAGCATCACCTGCTCTGGGAAGCCTGAGTCCCTCCCAGGCCAGAAGCAATCACGCCCTCCTCCTCCGGGTCCTCAATGACCCCACACCATGACCCTGAACCCTCACGCCTGGGACGTCTAGCTCCTCTGACTAGGCTGTAGGTGCTCAGAGGAGAGAAGCAGGACATTTTGTTGAAGGCACTCCAATTTTAAAATCAGGAGTCGCTGCACCTTCCCAAGCAGGGCTTCTAGAACCTCTCTGGATGTCACCTACTGTTGCTTTGCTTCCCCGGGGCGGTTTACAAGTGTTTGCCCACTAGAGCATGCCACGGCGCTCCGGCCAGCGGCGGGATGAGCACCGCCACCAGACGTGCCCCTCCTGCGGGACTGTCCTCGTGCTGGACACTGCTGGCCCGGGGCGCGATGTCGCGGCGCAGGGGGCAGTACCTGTCGATGGGACTGCAGCTTCCCAGTTCATTCCCGGGGTCTCAGAGAGCTTGTTGAGTTAACTTGGGGGGTGGGGGTGGGGGCAGGGTCCTGAGGGCTTCTCAGTTAAAACTTGAAAACACCCAGTTTAAGAGCAGAAAACAGGTGATGTACTATGTTTCAATGATACACATTCTTCCTTATCCTGAGGCAGTGTCAAAAATTTTCAAATCATAATCTCACACAGAGTTTAAAGTAGGAAAGAACAGTAAGGTCATATTTGCATGTCCACCAACCTGGGCGGAGGGAGGCACTTCTCTTCCTTCTCCAGGTAGCGCGCCTGAGTCAAGGCGATGCTTCTGCTCATGCACTGTATGAAGAAAAGGAAAACGTCTGCCACCTGGACAGCAGGCGCTGCGGGGACTGGAACAGGAAGGCACACTGCAACGCCCTCCTCAACGGCAGCTTTAATTCATGTTTCCAGGCGACAAGTGCTAGAAGACACTACAGCACCACAGCATCATCGCGAGCAGCACTGGTCTGCAAACTATGCCATGACCGGGTGTTCGTGCCACGCTGTCCAGGCCAGGAGCCAGGAGCCCAAGCGGCATGTGAGCACTGGGAGACACGGCGAGAACCACCGAGAGACTGGACTTTTAGTTTTACTTAATTTAAATTTAAATAGCCACAGGAAGCACTAGGTTACCATTTTAGACAAAGCAGAGTTAGGACAGGGGGAAACAGTAGCAGGCAAACCACGAGTTGGACTCAAGCATGACACCAGCAGCATCATTGCAGAGAGAAACTGCTCACCCTTCACATGTTAGTGACACCTCTGATTCCCGTGTGCTACATCTGGCCAGGTGCTACCAGGCACAGGGCCTCTGCTGTCACACATTTTCTACACAGCTTTCCTAGACATTAACCACCTGCCAAATTCGTAAGAAAATTAAAACATTCTTCACCAAAATAAAGCAAGCATAAAAACCAGATTAAGGTAATAGGTTACGAGGGCGTCTTTTTTGGGTGATGAGAATGTTTCGGAATTAGATAGTGATGGGTGCACAACCTCATGTTGTGCAACATATACTAAAAACTACTCAATTGTACCCTTTAAAAGGGTGAATTTTGCAGTATCTGAACCATGTTTTTAAAAAAGTCAATCAGAGCCAGGGGCAGTGCAGAGGAAAGAACAGCCACTCCCAGCGCGTGGCAGCTGAGGCGTCTGCTTGAAGAGGGGCCGCTCTGTGTGCTGTGAGGCAGGCTGTCCTCGGCTAGCACAAGGTGGAAACGCCACCAGGCAACAATGCCAGACCTCTGCCCATTCCACACTCCGGATGTGTGCTTGGGAACATGGCCTCCTCCTGCAAACACCCGCACCGGCTCTGTTTCTAGCCCTGGCTAGTTAAGAAACACTATAAACCATGGCTCAGTTTGTAAAAACAGGGGTTTGTCAAGCAACTCAACAAAAACCTGGCAAAACCTCTCAGTTCTACAAAGCTTGAACAAGAGTTACAGTACCGTGATTCTCTTCTCTCCCTCAAATATTAAAAAGAAAAAGCGGAGAAGAGCGGGACAAAAGATTTTTAAGTGGGAGCTGTGAGATGCAAAGAAACCGCGAGAGCTTTCTTCTTCCTTCTTCCAGACGCAGTCTGCAGAGTCCTCTGTCCTCCCCCGGAGACCCTGTTCTCCTCCCACCCAGCTCTCAGGATGCATTCCTGAGAACGGCCTGTACCGAGCTGGGAGGCACAGAGAGGATCTGGGGAGCTGGGAGCTGTCCGTGGACTTCCACCTCCTCTTTTCATTAGGAGGATAACTAATCTAGGCCAGTGCAGGATACTAGTATCGAGTCATCTCATTCACGTGCCCTCCTCTGTGTCTCTGTGGGACCAAGTAGCAGTAAGACCTAACGTGCTGCGATCTAGTGAGGAAAGAAGAGGTGGATTTACGAAGTAATCGACACCCTGGCATCTAGAGAAGGTCCACGTCCCATGACATGAAGCCCGTGTGGAGAACCGTCCTGAGGGGGTCGAGGGAGACTCAGGAGGAATGGCGGCATCACCGTGGACTCCAACACGGACACGCGGCCCCAAGGCCTGCTCGGCAGCAGTCCAGTCTACAAAGAATATTCGGCTGTCACACAAAGGGAATGTGACGAATTGACTTCTACCGGTGTGTCCATTTAGCTTGTATTTCATTTATCAATTCTTTCAGTATCACAATTGTATGAGAAGTATAATCACAAGGATGCTGTAGCTCCTTTTACGTCTGTACACAGCTAAGCACCATTACGATAAAAACACCATGGCAGTCAAATGGGTCTGTGGGATGTTTTTTCCCTTTAAGGAGAGTCTGCCTCTTTTCTTGTCTGGAGAGCTGTACCTGAGGGGACACCTATGACATTTCCTCATCTATGACATTTCCTCACCCAGCAAAGTCAGAGCTACTCCAGCCCAATCACTCATAATCTGACACATTTCCTTAATTAGGAATCTCAGAATCTGGGTTTGGTTTTACTTTGTTTTTTTAAGACTACTGACTCTCGAAGGCCACAATTGCATGAAGCTTTCCACAAATTTGTTATTCCAGACGATGTGGTTGGCTTCACACTGCGGTCCCCCTACTGAGCAGCCACGTAACTGTGGACAAGGGCCTGACCTTCCCGAGCCACAAATGGGCAAAGACACACGACAGATGACAGCCATCACTATTACCCTGACACCTGGCAGCAGGACTCCGAGCAGGAGCCCCCAGAAAGAACTGTCAGCAGGAACGAGCAGGACAAGGAAGCAGAAGGAAGCCTGTTTACATTCTCAAATACATACTCGATGTATTTCAGAGTCAAGTGAAAGGCAGTGCTGCCCCCGGGCGCACGCGCAGTGTTGCAGGGCTGCTTGACATTGCTCTACAAGGAGCAGGAGGAGAACCCGGAGGAGAGCGAGGCGGGCAGCATGCCAGCAGACACCGCTCTACCGAACACTTAACAGCAAAGCCACCAATAGCAGTAAAATGACCTTCAGAAGACAAAGCCATCTAAATCAGCCTCCCAAATCAGGCATGGTCGTCCTTCTTCCTTCCCTTTTGGTGACAAGAATATTTTGACCTGTTTCTGAGCTATGTTGGGGTTCACCCCCAGCCAGCCAGCTGTCCAGTGTTGTGTGCAATCACCACACGCAATGCTGTCCCCACCTACATGTATGAAAGCCTGGCTTTGTACATGGTAAGCAATGGGTTTTCTGGAAGGCTCATTATTCAGAGTAGAAGCAAAGTATCTTTTCATATGACATGGCATAGGACAGAACTTCAGTGTGAGCTGAAAGTGGACCCAACGGGATAAGCTGCAGCCTGTGAGCAGGGACGTGCTACAGACCCCACTGGGTGGGCCAGACGTCTGGAAGGCGCCCCAGAAGAACAATTCTCTGTCACCAGAGGGGTGACCAGTGACTTCCATCATACCCTATCTCTTAGAGCAAAGAGATCATTCTTAAAAATGACACTTAAAAACTGCTTGGGTTCAGGGTAGACGTGGTACGAGGAGATTCACTCAAATAACTAGGTACTTACTTGATTTACAATTTCCTGAAGTAGCTTAATGTCCTTTTCTCGTGACCCAGTGCTCTCTTCTAGCTGCAGGTGCAAGGCTGGAGAAAATGACTCTCCGACCACTTTCAATCCAGAAATGCTAAAGGAGGAAACACACACACAAGCATAAATCCCTTCCAGGCTCAGACAGCTGACACAGAAATAATTTTACAAAGACTGCATGAATGAATGTAAGAGAAACTTGTGACTTTTACCGGAAACATCCTGTGGTGGGACTCTAATGGTGACAGAGAAAGGTGACCTGCGTGCTCTGGGCAGTGCTTCCAATCTAGGACACCCTGCAATGCTAATTCTGTGAGCATGGGTGGGAAGAAGGCTCCGTGCCAGGAGATGTCTCGGGCTCACACCTCACAGAAAATACAAGAGTCACCCCCGGTCTCCCATCAGGAGATCTGCAGGCCCTGCTCCCTCACCCACCTGCGCTCAGATGGCCCCCTCCTCACAGGCCGGCTCCCCACCATCCCCAGGGGCTTCCCTCATCCCTCACTTTAGGGAAAAGTCTGTGTCGCCAATGTCTGTCACTCACTGTTTCCTGCACGGACTACTTACTACAATTGATCATGTGACATCTCCCTGCTTATCACCTCTGTCTGCAGTTTTTTATCTTGTCTTTCATAAACTACAGGGATGATTCCTCACAGTGAAGATGTTATATTTGGTCACCAGCAATATGCTTAGATTGTCAAGTTTCCTTCTCATTTGCATGTTTAATTTTAAATTTTACTTAAATTATGATTATTTTCTTCTTTAAGATTAACAGCGTAGAAATCTGCTGCTTCTCAGGCAGGAAGAGACACTTCTTTAGGAGTGAAATCCTATATTTTCAAATGATTATTACAGATGTCATGAGAAGTGTAGGCCATATTATCTAGTTAGGCTCATTTAAAGTCCATTTTTATTCTATAATAAAAATATTGTTTGATTTTTGACCTACCTCCTAGGACACAAATGGTGATACATGTCTATTTGAAATTGGGTGAAATATTTTAGATTGCTTTCATTTAGTTTTGTTTTACATAGAAAGACTTGCCTTTCTTTTATAATGAAATGAGCACAAAAAGCACTTGGTTGCATATTTTATTCCTCAAATATGTTTAGGACTTAACAAGCTTTTACTGAATGACTACTGTGTGCCAAGTATCACGTGAGATGGCGGAAGCTCACCTCACCTGCCATTCAAAGCACCCCTGAGCGTTACCAATTTGTGGCTCCTCTCTTCAAATGTAATAATCATGCTAAGATCTCTCAATAAACCAGATGGCAGATTTGAATCACAGAATCTTACAATCTAGGGCTTCTGGAATGTGGGGGAACCTTCTAGATTAGTTGTTTTACTAATGTAGAAACTAAGCAATATGCTTCCAAACTCCATTTCCTAGGTGAATTCTGCATGTGTTAAACTTGTACATAAAGAAGTATCAATTGTTTTAGGTCCTGTACTCTCAGAAAGAACTTAAAAAATTGCTTTTCAAATAGCACTTCGTATGCATTAAATTGCCTGGATTTTCCTTAATACATAAAAGGCACCTGCAGCCCAGTGGAGCTTGTTATTCGATCAAACAGGCTCATCTCACATGTTGAGAGGGGCAGGCTGGTGTGAGTAGGAATGACACAAGATGCCCTCTTTCTGGCTGCCTGGATGCCGAATGTCAGATAAAAGTTTAACTACAACCAAATGGACACCAAAGTACAGGTCGATTCAGAAACTCAGAAGCTGTGTTTCAGAGCCTATTATACTTTTTAAAGAAAAATTTGGGCGAGTCTTATTTTATCCAAATGGGTAAATACTAAGCAGAGGGCAAGGTGCAGGGAGAGAGCAGTCAGCAGTTCAGACATGGTCTCCACCACCTGCTCAGTGTGGCGAGAGTGCTGACATGGATAACTATCTGTTAGAACCTGGGGGCTCTTCAAGTTTCCAGCAAGGTGTCAAACTAGCACAGGCTGCTGACTTCCTCCTCCAAAAGCAACCTCAGAGATGAGAGAAGTGAATCACTGACCAGAGGACACTAAAAGAATCACCTAGAACACTGAAAATACTGCCTTTGAAAATGTTTATCTTTTAGATATTTATTGGAAAATAAGAAATAAAACCAACAACCTAAATATAAGAAGCAAAGAGTAAGAACATAATTCAATGAAACAAGAAAAATATGGAAGAAATCAATTAAGAAAATAAATATAATAAACAAAAAACTGAACAAAATCAAACTTAAAAAATTGTAGTAGGCAAAATCCTGGAAAGGTTATCATAAAAATGGAAAAGACAGAAATAGAAAATAAAAAGGGGAAATAATATAGACTCAAGAGAGAGAATTGCAGAGGAGGCCCAACCCAAAGGCCCCAAACCTAGAGATCCATAGAGGGGGTCCTGCTCTGAAGAAATAATTTCCAATTTCTTCCAACTGTGAAGAAAAAAACAAGCCTAGAAGTCTGATGGATATGAGATCAGTTTAGAGAAAATAATATTCTTATAAATCAGCAATAATGAAGTAGAAAACATAAGAGAAAAAACAACCCCATTCATTAGAGCAACAAAATCTATAGGTTATCCAGAAATTCCCCTTAGAGGTCCCATAGGGATACAAAGGTTTCAAGGAAAAATTTTCGGATTCCATTAAAGGACACAAAAGAAGATTCAAGCACGCGGAGAGATCACGTTCATGGATGCAAAATTCCCTCCATATTAATCAGAAAATTTGATGCAATTACAATTAAAATTCTAGAAATTTTTCAATCGAACTTGAACTTATTCCAAAACTTATATAGTGATAAAAACAGATATAGCAATAAAAAGTCTGAGGATTGAGCAAATAAACCAATGAAGTGGAAGGGAGAGTCAAAAAACAGATCCATGGGCCAGCCCCAAGGCGTAGCAGTTAAGCTCAGTGCACTCCTCCTTGGCAGCCCAGGTTTGTGGATTTGGATCCTGGGCATGGACTTGCACCACTTGTCAGCCATGCTGTGATGGTGACTCACATATAAAGTGGAGGAAGACTGACACAGACGTTAGCTCAGGGCTAATCTTCCTCAAGCAAATAAAAGAGGATTGGCAAGAGAGGTTAGCTCAGGGCTAATCTCCCTCAGCAAACAAAAAAACTCACCAAAACACCAGATCCAGGTAAAAATGGGAAACTGGTACATGACAGAGACAGGAGGCAGCACCAATCAATACAAGAACGGATGTGGTGTTTAGGTGATATTTACAACCTGACCGCACTAGTCTTAAAACAAACCAGACATCCCTGTCTTGATCCCATTTCTTCCTCTAGCCACTATCCCATTTCTCCATTCCTCTTCACGGCAAAACTCCTCAAAATGGTTATCTAAGCTGTGTCCAATTCCTCCTTCCCAGTCTTTCTGGAACCTGCTTTGATGAGGCCTTCTGCCTCCACCACTGCCCTGAAATTGCTCATCAAGTTGCAATCATCTCCACACTACAGAATCAAAGGATCAATTCTCAGTTCTCTTATCTGCTCTATCAGCACAGCACGGCTGACCTGCTACTGACACACAGTCTTCACTTGGCTTCCAGAACCTTAGACTCTTCTGGTTTGCCTCTTCCTCACTGGCCACTCTCCACCTCCTTGGCTGGTTTCTGACTTCTTCACACTGAAATGCTTGAAATACTCTCTATATGCTAACGACTCAAAAGTGTATCTCAAGCTCAGGCCTCTCCCTTAAACTTCAAATTGAATAGCCAAATGCTGCTCTCTACGAGATGTCTGAAAGCTTTTCAAGCTTAACATACCCACCACGGACTTCCCCAACAAAGGAACCACCCCAAACAGTTCCACCCATCTCACTCTCTAGCAACTCCATCTAGCTGCTCAGAACAAAGACCTTAAGATCAACTTCGAGTCTTCTCTTTCTCACTCACCCTGCACAGGAACTTCAGGCAAATCCAGCTGGCTCTCCCCTCAAAGTACACCCCAAATCCAAACACTTCCCACTGCTACTATGACGTCAGAGTCACCATCATCTTACGCACACAGCACTCCAACAGTCTCCTCGCTGGTCTCCTCGCCTCTGTACTTGTCACCATGTAGTCTACTCTTCACACCACCTAAGAGTAATTTTGCTGAGACATAAGTTTAGTCATGTCACGCCACTCTTGCTCAGAACCAAGAGAAGGCTTCCTCTCTGAGCCAGGTTCCTGTCGTGGCCAACAGGGCCCGGCATACTCTGGCCCCTGTTATCTGGCCCTTCTCTTCTACTAGGTGCCCCCACCTCTCCCCTCTTGCCACAGTGGCCTCCTTGCTGTTTCGTTTCCAGTTCCCTCTAAACATCTAGACACCTGCACAACGTGCTCCCACACCCCCTTTACTGCGTTTGGTATGAGGTGCCTGTGGAGTCCTCCAAGTAGAGATACTGAATAAGCCACTGGATGTGGGACCTGGTACCCTAAAGAGTGGGATAGACTGGAGACACAAATTTGTGAGCTGCCCACGTAGAGATGTTATGAAACGACTTGAAGCTCCAGGTGTGGAAGAAGACAGTTCTCCAAGAAGGCAACAGCGAAAAGAGGAGCAAGAACTAAGCCCTGAAGAGGAGGATGTTAAAAGAAAGCCTTCAGAGGAGACCGAGATGAAACAGTTCAAAGAGGCAGAAGAAAAACTAGAAGTGTGGCGGCATAACGGAAGCCAAGGAAGAAAGAGCTGTAAGAAGGAAAGGGTGGCCAACCGTGCTGAAAGCGAATGAGGCAAACAAGATGGGCTTTGAAGAGCACCCGATGGACTTAGCCACACGGCAGTCACTGGTGACCTCCAAAGGAACGGTCTGGGCCAAGTGCAAGAGTCGAGGCAGATTTCAGCGGCTTCAAGCGTAAATGAGAGGCGAAGATGTGGAGAAGGCAGAAACAACTCGGGAAAACATCAGCGACAAGGAGAAGCTGGCTGGTGTTCTGAATTTACAGTGACTCCAATGTGCTGGGCTGTATTGATATATTAATATTTCATAAACCAATGTAACTGGAACCAATACAAATAATATTCCTCTCCCATAAATCATGCAAGAACTTTTTTTACTATCACATAGACACACCCAGAACTTTAATTATTTCTGCCTCTACTTTATCTGGAACAGGTGTGGTCTGCTCATTTATCAACTGTCCTTTCCTTTTAGTAAAGTCTCAAGTTTCCCTATCTGGCAATAGAGATAGGGCTTTCATGACCGAAAAGGCACGTTTCATCTTAGGAAAGGCAAAAAGAAACACTTTGGGCAACACGAGATAATTTTCTTTAGGGCCAGAAATCTGCCTGAGGATGTTACTAGACTCAATTTTTTTCTCAGCTCTAGAGGAATCTTAAAGAACTACTCTTGTGTAGTTAAAACAAACAAAAATACTCACAAGGTTCACTTCAATTTCACTTCTTTTCTTGTATGAATTTAAAATAAAACAGTAACCTTCTAAAGGGTGACATGGACAGTATGAACCCAATGTTATCTAATTACACAGCATACGATTATATCTTTTTATCTGTATAGATGTAGAGAGATTCTCCAATGGTTATTTCTCGTGGTAGGATGTTGAGTTAATTATTTTCATTTTTGTATCTTCTGTATTGCTATAATACTTTATTATTATTAATTATATTATTATATTTTTATAATATATATTATATATAACATTTTTATAATATACATTATATTACATATATATTATTATATTATTATTAATGAGCTTGTATCATTTTTAGAAAAACAAAGTCACGATTCTTTAAAATAATGACAAAGTGAATGCTCTGATTTTACACACACAGACCAATTTGCGTGAACTGAGTTTTTGGTTTCTTAGTTGCAATTCAGTCAAATTGACCCAAGCCTATAAAATATACCCCAAACCAAAGAGGTGACAGTCAAAATTATTCATTTGTTGTTTAAATGTGGTGCAAACTTTAGGTTGGCTGAAAACATATGAAACTTACCCTTGTAAAGCTTTGTGAATCCGTTTGCACTTTTCCTTCAACACTGCAAAAAGGCCTGAAAAAGAAATACATTTGATAGTATATTTGAAAGATCTGATTTTACTAATTCAAAATATGTTTAAAGATTTAGTTCAAGTTCATCAATTTAAAATGCTGCAAATCCTTCCACATACTAATAACACACAAATGGACAGCCAGTAACTCTCTGAAGGCCCCAGCTCTCGTCTTTGGCACATACCAACTGGCGCCTCTGCACCCCACTCTCAGCAAAACCTAGGATGAGGTTTTTCACAACAAAACAATGGCTCTTGCTCTTATCAAGATTCTATAAATAATCTGGCTAAGAGTAAAAGGGAACAAATATATTACTTATTTCTGGACCCTAAACAATTTGGTAAAAAATAGACACTGCAGTAATGTTTATGATCTTTTCCTTGATATTTTCACTTTATTGGAGGAAAATTCAAAAATTATAATAGCTGCATAGGAGGCGAGAGTGCCAGGCCGCCTGACTAGCAAGCACATGAATGTGCACATAGACACACACATGCTTCCTGATTCTCTGACTTAAAACCAATGTTGAAAATTTAGAAATTTAGAAAACTTAAAATTTAGAAATACCAAGTAAGGCTGCTTTTTCCATTTTCATTTCAGGCTTTGGTGAGGAGGTGTGATCACAGCCAAAAGCCACATTTTAAATTTAGCTGACTTTGCCTGTTAAGTAAGTTTAATGGTTGGTAAACCAGGTTTGGCCTCAGTACCCAATGATGATTCAAAGGCTGAGGGGGAAAACTAGACAACAGTTATAAAATTACATATACCAAAAATGAGTAGTACATTTCAGCTAATTTCTCAAAAAACAACAAACCAAAGGATGAGTGGCCTGGAGCTGAGCTGTCCTCCTTCAGGCATCTCCACCCACCAAGGGAGCCAGCCGCACTTTGGCTCCAGCTCCAGGAACAGGAGAGAAGCTCTAAACTGAACCCCGAGAGAGGGACACCTCCACTGCCATTCTTATAAATGCCAGATGACAATGTAATTCAGAGCCAGAGCTTTGTCTGCTAAATAATTTCTTGTGGTTAGTACCTCCAAAAGCACACCAGTAGCACGGCTAATGTAAGCTGCAAGGTCTTTGATATCCCAAGTTTAGAAGGTGATACCTGGATTCTCCTCCATGATGTTGAGGGCCTCGATGGCTGCAGCAGCTAACAGGGGAGGCAATGAAGCTGAGAAGCAGTATCCCTGGCCGGAAAGTCGCTGAGAAGAAACAAACAAATTAAAAACAAAAATCTAAAGTCACCAATCTCTGCACCACCTCCTGGACAGTGTACAAGAGGTAAGAAGGAAGATCCAGGTATGTATAAAAGTCATACATGCAACCAACACGAGGCTTTTTTAAAAAGGGAGATAATTTCTAAATATAAATATTTTGAGTGATGTTTTAAGAAATCGCCTTATAAACTAAGTTAGAATTAAATTCTGTAATTAGAAGTTGAAATTCTGAGGTGACTAATGGAGCAATTAGTTTCAGGTTTTGCTTTTATTCTTAAAAAGAACCCACCTGATGGTCAATTACAAAAGACCTGCCACAGCAGAAACCCCCGATAGAAGCGAGTGAATTCTCCATGTTGGCACTGATAAGATCAATATCATCAATCTGCCAGAGAAGAGAGACAGTGGTAGTTATTCCCCAATTTAAAGAAAAAGAAAAAGACCAATGACAAGCCTAGAGACAAAATCACTACTCATGTCAACATCTGGATTCAGACAAACTGCGTGAAAACAAAGGAAAAATCATACAAAGTCTATTGTTAAAAGGACTGATGTTTCAAAGCCTGCCTCTCAAAGTGTCTCACTTTATACTTTTTTTGCCATTGCAGCATGCACTGACAATTTATTCACAGTGGAAGAGATAAGTTAAAAGAAGATGAAATCCAAAACTGTTCGATACTAAAAACATTCAGAGGTACAAAATACCTCTTGCTATAACAGTGGTATAGCTGGCCTTCCCCATAGAAGGTACCTGAGACAAATAAAAACAAACCTATCAGTTTTGAGCACTTTTTCCCACATTCGATTTACCCTTCATCTTTTCAAAAATGAAACCAATTTATCCGAACATCATAGCAATTGAATCTTTGACCAAAGTGGACCAACTGGGCAGTGGAGAATCTAATGTGGCCCGTGGGCTTCTGAGTTCCCACTATCCTCTCAACTCCTCAGGATGCCTCTGATCCTCACCTTCTGAGTTCCCACTATCCTCTCAACTCCTCAGGACTCCTCTGATCCTCACCTTCTGCTCCAGCCTCCAGTGCCAAGTTCCATCCTGGTACACAGCAGCCACACAATAATTACTCACTGATGGCTGTGATAATGACTGGTCAAATCACATCTGGTGTTTTTCTAAGTGTTCCAGAGATCCAACAAGGAAACCTGAGTCCTCTTATTCTTTTCTTTTTTAAAAAGCTTTTATTATGAAAAAACGCAAACATATACAAAAGCAGAGAGAACAGAATAAAGAATTCCCACCACTCAGATTCAATAATTATCAACTCATGGACAATCTTGTTCCATGTACAGATTCCTACTGCCCTCATCATTTCTTTGGAGCAAATCCCAGACTTCACATGGTTTCATCTATAAATATTTTAGTGGGCACTTCTGAAAGATATGGATTCTTTCAAAAACATAATCATAAACTATTATCACACTTAAAAACTGAAAAATTTCTTAATATTATCAAATATTCACTGCTAAAAATCTCTGTCTAACAAAGCTTGTTGTTTTTTTCATGTGTGTGAGCTAACGTCTGTTGCTCATCTTCCTCCTTGTGCTTGAGGAAGATTATCCCTGAGCTAACATCTGTGCCCATCTTCCTCTATTTTGTACGTGGGACGCCACCACAGCATGGCTTGACAAGCAGTGTGTAGGTCTGCGCCCAGAATCCAAACCTGTGAAACCCGGTCCACTGACGCAGAGTGTGCAAACTTAACCACTACACCACCTGGCTGGCCCTAACAAAGCTTGCTTTTTACAGTATTTGTTTGAATCAGGATCCAAACAGGGTCCATACATTCTGCACTCAACTCAAGCCCTTGTAAATATTACCTCCATGACAACTGCTGAAAGCAGAAAACTAGAACAGTGAGTTAGACAGTGCTTTTTTCTTCTTTAAAATTTTCATGCCTTAAAAATTGCTCTAGGGGCCGGTCTGGTGGCGGGCGGTTAAGTTTTCACATTCCGCTTTGGTGGCCTGGGGTTCACTGGTTTGGATCCGGGGTGCAGACCTACCCACTGCTTGTTAAGCCATGCTGTGGCAGGCGTCCCACATGAAATAGAGGAAGGTGGGCCAGATGTCAGCTCAGAACCAATCTTCCTCAGCAAAAAGAGGAGGTTTGGTGGCAGATGTTAGCTCAGGGCTAATCTTTCTCAAAAAAAAATAAATTGCTCTAGTGTAAATTTTGCTTGAATTACATCTCCACTTACCTTAAATCCCTCAGCACACTTAACTGCCAAATGTCAGTGTGTCTCTGAGGCTATGCTTCAACCTAACTGTGTGTGACACGCATTCTGCTCTATGTTTCTCTCTAGCACTGCAGCTCTTCTAGGATGATTTTATGTTTTATAGTTCAAACCTTTAACAGAGGTTGCAAAACTTTCATGTACACGATTTGGAGAAAAACTTCCTTCCACCCACCCACACAGCGGTGGGTGAAGACAGGTCCTGCAGACGGACCGATGACACTCTTTCCTGAGGCTCCAGGAGCACAAACCACTAAGACTGGGGGAAGTTGGGGCTCATTTCCCTTCAGCAAAAGAAAACATGACAAACTCACTCCAGTCGTCTGGGATCTTGAGGGGCTTTGCTGAATCTGTGGCAGTGGTGTTTCTGACACCATACGTATAATTATGTACATATGAAAAGAGGTGGGACTCTATCAACCCCATACACACAAATTACAGAGAATACAGAATTTTAAAGATTAGAAAGATCATCCTTCCACTGCCATCAAAAATACTTTCTAAAGGACTACTTAGGAAATTCTTACTAATGTTAAGAAAAAGACAGAAGGCAAATTTAACTACTTCTAGAGAAGAGACATTGAAAGTCAGGATCAAATGCCGCCACGTAAACAGAACACAAATTCTATGATTGGCCGCTCTGAGTTTACAGGCTCCGAGGGAAGATGGGGGCCCCTGGTCTGGCTGACCTGATCCTCTGTGGGCTCTGCGAAGTGACAGACACCAAAGTTACACGACCCTGCATGTCGATGAGGAGCACTGTCTTCCACCTACGAAACCTGCCCAGCAGGATGGAACTTCATGTTTTCTATATGAGGGGATGTTCCAAAAAGGGAGAACTTACATTGATTCCAAAATGTTCGGTGACTCCTCGGCCATGCTCCCCCAGTACTCCAAATGAAAGGCTTTCCTCCAGAAAGATCCTTGCTTTGTATTTGTATTTCAACTTAACCTAAGTGGTAAATAAAATACATATATATTTAAAAATACATATATATTTAAAACACTGGCACATATATTCACCATATAAAATATACTGGGAAGAATGAAATTAAACCTAAGATAAAAGGGAGGAAAAAAAAGCATGTACAGTTGATCCTCAATATTGGTGAATTCGTATTTGTGAGTCTCCAAATCTGTAACCCCAAAATCCATACTCAGGGCATGTGCGCAGAGCAGTGAACACATGGAGTCTCCTGACGTGCGCGTTTCCACCGAGTTGCACAGGCTGCTGCTTCAGCTCAGACCGTGAACAAGAGCACTGCTCACAGTCTGTTTACTGCCACGCTTTTCACCTTGTGTGCTTTTTGTTGTTTACAATGGCCCCAAGCATAGTGCTGCAGTGCTGTGCAGTGTTCCGAAGGGCAAGGAAGCTTTGACGGGGCTTACAGAGATGCTTCCTTCTGGCATGAGTCACAGCGCTGCTGCCTGTGAGCTCAGTGTGAATGAATCAACAACACATATTAAATAAGGTGTGTGTAAGCAGAAACACACATGAAGCAAGGTTATGTACTGAGCGACTGACAAAAATGTGACCAGAGGCAAGCAGAAAACTAACTCTGTATTTGCCCTGGGGGCGACAGTTCAGTATTTGGTAATTCAGTATTTGCAACATGTTCATAGAGCATAACTATATATACTTTACAGGACATAACTGCCATGAAGAATGAGAATCCACTGTACTTCTATTTATTTATTTGAGGAAGACTAGCCCTGAGCTAACATCTACTGCCAATCCTCCTCTTTTTGCTGAGGAAGACTGGCCCTGAGCTAACATCTGTGCCCATCTTCCTCCACTTTATATGTGGGACGCCTACCACAGCGTGGCTTGCCAAGCAGTGCCATGTCTGCACCCAGGATCCAAACCAGCAAACCCCAGGCCACTGAAGTGGAACGTGCGAACTTAACTGCTGAGCCACCAGGCCGGCCTTATCTTTATTTTTTTTTAAAGATTGGCACCTGAGCTAACATCTGTTACCAATCTTCTTCTTCTTCTCCCCAAAGCCCCCCAGTACATAGTTGTATATTCTAGTTGCAGGTCCTTCTGGTCCTGCTATGTGGGACGCCGCCTCAGCATGGCTTGATGAGCAGTGCTAGGTCTGCACCCAGGACCCAAACCAGTGAAACCCTGAGCCGCCAAAGCAGAGTGTGTGGACTGAACCACTCAGGCATGGGGCTGGCCCTAAGAATCCACTGTACTTTAGCTGCTCTAAAATGATTCAGTTTAACTCAGCAATACAGATTGCACAGTGCCAATTTCTAAGGAGGGAGATGTTAAGACCTTATGAGTATAGACAACAATCTATCTGTTAAATACTGGTATGATAACACATAAAAACTCCTGGGGAAATGCTACACGTATTCTTCCCTCAGTGGCACCGTGTTTTAATTTGGATTCATAGCATTTCTTAATGTAGAAGTTGTTTTCATTAATATGTTTTTCAATCTGTTTTTCCCTTTGCTTTGAAGCTTCTAAGAAACTCCTTTCTCATCAAAGGTTTAGATGCTTATTTATCTATATGTACTGCTAATTATTTCTTGGTTTTTTTTTTTTTGTTTACACATCGGGAAGCTAAATATATGCATGTTTGTGTATGGGTTTTTTCCCCCTAATGTTTAACTGAGTTACCCCTGTAGGATGTCACAACTGAATTAAAATACTGTGATTATCAGGGCTGGCACTCTAACCTAACGGTTAAGTTCGGCACGCTCTGCTTTGGCAGCCCAGGTTCAGTTCCCAGGTGTGGACCTACACCACTCGTCGGCAGCCATGCTGTGGTGGTGACCCACACAGAAGGCCTAACTGCCAAACAGTCCGAATAGTAAAATAATGAATACACACAGCTGCTCACCAATTCTGGAAGAGGACAGATAGCTCCAGTATTCACATACAGCCCTTCGGCCACAATGAAACGTCGGGTCACACGAGCCTTGCGAGGATTCTTTAAAAGGAAAAAAAGGATGTTTTAAATTTCAGTAACTCCAAACACAAAATCTGTTTCATGTTCCCTAGCATTTTCACCTTATAAGATTTAGTCATCAAAATCAATCAATCAATCATTTGAATGAATTTCAAGCTCAAGGTTTGAGATCCCATTATTTTGAGACAAAAAACAGTGCTTTCTTCTCTGACATTTTTCAGTTCACACTATGAACTAGGCAACCTCACATGCACAAACTACTTAGGCCTTCTGAGAACACTAAAATACAAATAAACACTCTAAGCCCGGAATGATGGGAAAGGGACGCAAGGGAACTTTCTGGGGGGATGGTGACATTTCAGGTCACGATGGGGCCATGATGCCTGGGTTACACGGGTATAACCATTGGTCAAAATTGTATGGTTAGAGTTTGTGGATTTCAACATTTGCCAATTTTGCCTAAAATAAAAAGAATTATAATGATGACAAGCATCATCATCATAGAGATGGAGTGGGAAGTTAGATGGAGGTTCAGATGACAGATGAACGGTGGAATGTTGATAACAAAGCTGGGAGAAGGCTATAAGGGGCTTCACTATACTATCGAGTTTCCTTTGAATGTGCCAGAAATTTTCCATAATAAAAAGTTAAACAGACAAACCCTGCTCTCCCTTATCTACCAAAAAAACAAATGGAACCCTTTTCCTTCCTTACTCCTCAACACAGGGTCAAGTAAAACTAGACTATGACCTCTGACCTCATCCAGTGATGTTTGAAGGCAGTGGGGTGGAGAGGCTTTTTCAAACAACATGCATCTTCCCACACCCCACCGATGGCAAGTCACTGATAAACCACTAGCACTGCTGAATGTGTAGATGCTGCAGATATGCCGGGCTGAAAAAACACTGAGACCCATAGATAGAGTTTGCCACTACCTTCTGATTCAAAGGCTTCTTGCCTCTAAGCTTCTGTCTAATGCACAACAAGAAACTCTGCTTTCAGGGGTGTTTTAGAACCCACAGACATTACACTCAGAAAAGCGTCTGCTGAAGTGTGCACAAGTATGCATGGCTGAGTTTTCTTGGTTGTCTTCACTCTGTCGTCAACTCAAACCCAAAGGCCGTGGGTCTGCTGGGGGTCACGGATAAGGACATGGGGCATCCTGCCTCTCCCTGCCTTTCAAAAATGAAAGGCATATTTTTCTTATGATTTTAAAATAGTCAATGTAGGAATCTTGAGAAATTGAAAACTACAAAAAAGAATTTACAAATTAGCTCACCACACCACACCTTGATATTTTGTCTTTCTTGTAAATACATAACTTTATAAGTTACTTTGTTCAAATCAAGATTTTACTGCAACAGTTTCAGGACCTGAGTATTAAAAATATTATGTTGTGAGCATTTCCGCAATCTTAATATTATTTAAAACATGATTTTAATGGAGATATCATATTACACTTGTGGACATACCAGAAATTATTTAACTATCCCCCTAATGTTGGATTTAGGTTGTTTCCCTCATTTTGTCCCTTTCACATCGCATTGTGACTATCCTTCACTCTTTGACATCACTTGTGATTATCCTCTGAAGACAGCACCCCAAATATAGGTCCAAGGGCATGGATATGTAAGAATCCTCGACTATTTGCCCGTTTACCCTCTAGAAAAGCTGTGCCAATTGAAACTCTCCCCAGAGTTCCAGGAGGGCCTTTGTCTCATCACACACATCAGTGTTGGCTCTGATTATTACTATTAAAAATGTTCCCTAATTGGACAGGCAAAAACTTCTAGCCTAATTTCTCTCATTATTAGTGAGGCCAGGTTATTTTTTACTTGCTCCTAGTTATTTGTATTTTTTCTATGGACTGCTGTTTTTAACTACTGTGCTTTTTTTTTTTTTTTTTAAGAAAAATTAATACGGAACAAGAGAATCCTAGAGGAAAAGGAATGGAAAACCATTTATGAACCACAATACTTGTGCATTTGACCAAAAAACGTTTGACCCAAATCTGGGCTAAACTGCAACATTTTAATTCACTTTCAAAGGAAAGACAAGCATTTAACATTTATTACAATGCAAAAATGAAAGTGAAAAAGAATTATTTCTAAAAACCAAAATGTAAAGTTACTTAGGAAGCCTCTTTTTGGCAGGAAAATGTGGTAAAAATTAATTAGTAAAAAGGTAAAAAGTATAAAATGGAAATAAAATTCAAGATAATTGTATTTCTTGTTACTCATAAAAAAAGTTCCACTGATTATAAATCTTGTAAAACACACACACACACAAAACTTGAATATGATGCTTTCCAAATTTGTACAATACTAACTTGGTAAAATAAACTCTACAGCAGACTGGTTCATTGGTCACACTTTCCAAGGCAGTGTTCTTCAATCTGGCAGCATTCTATTACTGAATCAGAACAAAGGCCATTTTTTTTACAATTTGTAGAAAGAAATTCATCAGTGAAACGGTCTCAATCTGAAGATTCCCTATAGATTCTTCTAAATTGTGTAACTATGAAACACTGGCCTAAAGCACGTCCAGCATAAAATAGCAAGCGTCTATGCATATTCATTACGAGAATGTGTATATTCATGAAGTGCTGCTCTTGGGCTGTCACCTAAACAAAGATGAGAGAATCCTAAAGGAATAATGCAAATATCTGGGAAGATGGAAATTAACACAAAATTAATGAACACGATGAGCGTTTTTATCAGTTACTCTGGTAATAAATGAGCTGCACTGAAAAATTCCTCCTGAAAGTGGTGTTTGAAACAAAGGATGTGGTGACCAGGTTCCCAGTACAGTCCACACATAATGGTTCCTGCTGCAGAACCACAGACCAGAACGACCTTTTCCGCCCAAGTCATCAGGGGAAAATAAAAGATAAATCTAACGGTGATGCTTTGAACACATATCCTCTGCGACACTCTCTAATCAGAACACCAAAGAGCTAGTCCCACCTCTCCGCCCTCCCCAAGGGGCTCCGCAGGGGCTGGGGAAGAAGTGTAAATGAGCTGCAAGGCGGAAGGAAACCTGGCTGGGGCAGTTGTTCCCCACAGGTAGCAGCTGCTCAGAGCTCCAGGATGAAGGTGGGGTGGGGAGAAAAAGTCTCACTTTCTTCATAAATTCATAAACTCAGATCTGCTGCCGTTGTTTCTTCCAGTTAATTGATATACGATTCATTCTGATATGAATAAGCCTGTTTTGAATTCACTAGGTACATCTCAATAACGCCCTAATGAGTTCTGGTGTTACTTCTGTAGAGTTGAGAATATACATTCCTCCCACCCCAAAAGTGCACACGGTTTTTCTCCCTCTCTTCTAGAAAGCTGCCTGGATTACCTTCCCCCAAATTTGCCATATATAATTACGGCAATGACAAGGCAATTACAATCAGACTTGGCTCTCTAACACGAGGTACATTTAATAAGCAGGAACGCCCTTGATATCCAAATGTGATCTGCAGGCAAGTTTTCATGACAAATTACCATTTCATATATAATTTAGGTGGCTAGAAAGTACAAAAGAACTGTATAATTTTCTTCAAAAGAATCATACCTTTTGATCTTCGATCTCTTGTTCTTTTAGTAGTCGCTCCAGGTCAGCCATATCATTATGCTTAAATAACTTAATGTCACTGCGTGATGCTTGCAATCCCTTCTGAATAGCAAAGCAGGCAGCTCTATCTCTGCAAGGAAGAGAGACCCACCAAAGTGGGGTTTAAAGGGCCTTGTCAACATTCTCAGAAAGGAGTGCTTGCTTTTCCAAGCTGACCAAGATCCACTTGTTAACTTGAACATGGCAAATAAACACCACCTCTGAACATTTATACGTTGTTGTTTGCACTTCCCTCTGCAAGTCCTTTTCACATAACGACCACATTGGTTCTATTCCCAGAAGCACACTCTTAGCATATTTTAACCTCTCAGAAATCAGCATGCATCTTACAATGGATGGAATATCAGTATACTCCTAGTAATTTTCTTTCTAAGAAATACATGAACTTTCGGTGCATCTCGCCATCACTAACATCTCTGATTTGACTGGCACACTACTCTGCCATTACTTTCTCATGAGAAGCAATACTGGATCGTTGACTCTACATAACCCAGGAGAGAACTCTGGGTCTTGCAGATTAAACTTCAGTTAGCTCTTTCTTCTAAATTGGGTTAATTAGAGGAGTTAATTAGGGGTTAATATTTTTGTAATTCAGTTGTATTATTTAAAAGTATATGCAAGATTTCTGGGAAGATGGAGTAGACATACTTTCCCCACTTTCCTCACTAGGTACAATAAAAAACCCTGGACATTACACATAAAACAAACATAAGACGACTCTGAAAGGTGGAGAGAAAAGGCAGACTGGCCAGGCAGCTGAGAAATGACATAAAATGAATTTCCTGCATTTTCCCAACTTGGAGATGATGAAACTGGCCAAGTGGAAATGCCAAAGGGCACAGACACAAAAGCTCTTACAGGCAACAGGACAGGAAGGGGCAGCCCAGCAAACAACAATGGCTCCACTGCAGCCAAACCACAGAAAAACCTGGGCCCACTCCCCCCAACACCAGCAAAGCCTGAGGGGAACGTAGACTAATCCTTAGGAGCTATCAGAAGGTAACCCAACACCCCCCAGGGTGGTGTCAGAGAAGGGAGCCAGGACTTTTAACCCTGCCGAACGGTAACAAGTGGCCCCCACTGTGGTGTCAGTGCAGACCACGTGGAGAGCCACAACTTCCACCTCCATGCAGTGAGGAGCACCCTCTCTCTCTTGGCTCCGGCTGTGTCAGAGAAGGCTCCAGGGAGAGACTCTCATCAACAGCTGTGGAAATGAAAACACCCCACCTCGGTGTCAATGGAGGCTGAGTGAGGACCCCGGACTTGTACCTCTGCCTGGCAGTAAAAGGCAGCGGTGCCCCCCTGCCCCTGTGGAAGAGTGTCAGAGAAATCCAATTAAAACAGAAGGTTTAAATAAAGCAGAAACCGTAATAGCATAACATGAAAATGTCCAGGTTTCAATCAAATATCATTTGCCAGTGATATCACTATGACAATACCAAGAACCAGAAGATATCAACAGAATGAAAGAAAACAATCAACAAATGCCAATATTGAGATGACAGAGATGTCAGGATTATCTGACAATGATTTTAGAGCAATCAGGATAAAATTATTTCAATGAGTAATTATAAACATGTTCAAAACAAATGAAAAAACAAAAAGCCTCAGCAAAGAAATAGAGAATACAAAGAAGACTCCTGTAGAGATGTTAGAACCAAAAAACAAAATAACGAAAAGGAAAAGCTCAGTGGACGGGCTCAGAAGCAGAATGGAGGAGAGAGAGGAAAGAATCAGTGAACTGAAAGATGTAACAACAGAAATTAGTCAATGTAAACTAGACAGAAAACAGACTAGAAAGAAAAGAACAGAGCCTCAGGGACCTGTGGGATACAATAAAAGATGCAACATTCACGCCAGTGGGCTTTCAGAGAAGAGAAAGAGGGTGGAGCTAAAAAGGTACTCAGAGAAATAATGGCTGAAAATGTCCCAAATTTGGCAAGAGGCTTAAATCTACAGAATAAAGAAGCTGAGCGAAACTCAAACAGATAAATCCAAACAAACAAATGCCAAAACAATAAAAGTCAACCTTCTGAAAACTAAAGGCAAAGAAAAAATCTTGAAAGCACCCCAAGGAAAACGACACCTCACAAATAAGAGAAAAACAATTTGAGTAACAACAGATTTCTCATCAAAAACAAGAGAGACTAGAAAAAAGTGTCACAATATATTCCAAATGCTGAAAGAAAAGAACTGCAAACCAAGAATCCTATAAGTAACAAAAATATTCTTTAGGAGTGAAGGGGAAATCAACATATTCACAGTTGAAGGAAAACTGAGAGAATGGCTAACTGAAGTTCTCTACATAGAAAAAATAAGGAAAAGAAAAGAAAAGAATCTTCGATTATCAGGAAATACGAAAGAACACAGTAAGTAAAAATATGGATAAACACACTAGGCTTTTCTTGCCCTCTTGAGTTTTCTAAGTTATTTTCGATGGTTAAAGTAGAAATTATAACACTGTCTGATGTGGTTCTCCATGTATATACAGGAAACATGTAAAACAATGACAAACAAGGAAACTAAAGGAATGTAAGGGAAGGTAAAGGTTTCTATACTTGAACTGCTAAAATGATAACACCAGTAGAATGTGATAATTTATGTATATATTTAGAGGAAGGAATGATTAAAAAAACTACACAAAGAGAAACAGTCTAAAACACTACGGATAAATAAAAATGTTCAACTAACCCAAAGAAAGGCAGGAAAAAGAAAACAGAAAAACAAAAAACAGAAGAAACAAGAAACAAAAACTAAAATGGCAGATTTAAGTCCTCACACATCACCCATAATTACATTATAAGTAATGGCCAAAATATACAATTTAAAGACAGAGATTGGCAGAGGGGACTAAACACGACCCACCATATGCTGTCTGTAAGAAACTTACTTCAAATGTAATGATATAGGTAGGAGGGCATATAGATGCTATATGAAATATAGGTAGTGAGTGTATACATACATGCAAACAATCATCAAGGGAAAGCGAAACGCCTATGTTAGTATCTGATAAAGTAGACTTTGGAACAGAGAAAATTACCAGAGACAGAGAATGACATTACATAATGATAACAAGGTCAATTAACCACGAAAACTTATCTTAAATATGCACCAAACAACAGAGCTGCAAAAGGTGAGATGCAAAAACTGATAAAAATGAAAGGAGAAATAGATCACAACTATGACAATTGACAGAACTACTAGACAGAAAATCAGCAACGATATTATAGAACTCAACAACACCATAACCAACAAGATCTAGTTGTCATTTATAAAAAGCTCCACTGAACAACAGCAGAATATTCTTTCTTAAGTGATCATGTAACATCTTCCAAGACAGACCACATCATGAGCCATAAAACAAACTGCAACAAATTAAAAATCTCTAATCATTTGGAAACTAAATAACATATTTGTGAATAATCCATGGGTCAAAGAGAAAGTTTACAGGGAAATAAAATACAATGAACTAAATGAAAATGCAAATAAACACATCAAAATTCGTGGGACATGACTAAAGCAATGCTGAGAGGGAAATTCACAGCATTAATTGCATTAGAAAAGAGGAAAAGTCTCAAAGCAATGATCGAAGTTCCCACCTCAAGAATCTAGGGAAAAAAAGAGCAAAATGAGCCAAAAATAAGCAGAAGGCAGGAAATAGCACCAGAAATCAATAGAGTTGAAAACAAAAATACAATGGAGAAAAATCAGTGAAACAAAGAGCTGATCTCTGAAAAGATCAATAAAATTAATAAGCCTGTAGCAAGACTGACAAAAAAAAGAGTAGACACAAATCACCAGTCAGGAATGAAACAAGGGATATCGCTGCAGGCTCTGCAGACATTTGACAACTCAGAAGTAATGGATCAATTCCTTGAAAATGGTCCAAAATGGACCAATTCCTCAACTCACCCAATATGACAGATAATTTGAATAGCCTTATGAATACTAAGGAAGTTGAATTCATAATTAAAATACTTCCAAAGAATAAATCTCCAGGCCCAGTTGGTTTTACTGGAGAATTCTAGGAAATGTTTAAGGAATTAACAATTTTACACAATTTCTCCAGAAAATTTTTTCTGGAGACTTCTCAGTTGATTTTAGGAAGTATTAGCCTGATGTCAAGACTAGACAAAGTCCAAAACAAAGTAAACACCACTAGCCATCCAGGAAATGTAAATTAAAACCACAATAAGGTATCTCTACATACCCACCAGAATGGCCAAAATAAAAAAACAGTGACAACACCAAATGCTGAGGATGTGGAGAAATTAGATCACTTGTACACTGATGGGAATATAAAATGGTGCAGCCACTCTGGAAAACAGTTTGGCAATTTCTTAAAAAACTAAACATGTAATACCCATACAACCCAGCAACCATACTCCTTGGCATATATCCCAGAGAAATAAAAACTTACGTTCACAGAAAAACCTGTACGTGAATGTTTACAGCAGCTTTATTTGTAACAGCCTCAAACTGGAAACAACTCAGCTGTCATTAAGAGGAGAATGCTTCAACAAACCACTGCATCCATACCAGGAACTACGACTCAGCAATCAAAAGGAACAAACTCTTGATCCATGCAACAACTTAAATGAATCTCCAGAAAAATAATGCTGAGTGAAAAAAGCAAATCTCAAAATGCTACCCACTGATACGACTGCATTTGTAGGACAATCTTGAAACAACAAAATTATAGCAATGGAGAACAGATCAGTGGTTGCCAGGGTTAAGCAGTGGGTATGGTGGGAGGGACACGGGTATGGCAACATAAGGGATCCTTGTGGTGATGGAAATATTCTGTCTCTTGACTTCATCAGTGTCAATCTCACAGCTGTAAAATTGTATTCTAGTTTTGTAAGAGGTGACCGCTGGGGTAGACTCGATAAAAGCACACAGAATTACTTCTTACAAGCGTGAATCCACGATGATCTCAATATAAAACATTTCATTAAGAAAAAGTACATGTTTAATACGAACATAGACTTAGTAGGGTGACCAGGACAGACTTAAGCACATGAACAACCACTGTGCTGAGACCTACTATTGGCAAAACACTACCACTAGTTACTAAAAGGAAGAAACGAAGCATCAGACATGTTGTCTATGTCTAATAAATTTATCAAAAACCATTTATCAAACAATTTACTAAACGGCATCTTCACCTCTAGTGTTCCTACTTTCAAATTAATTTCAGGCAGAATATTTAAAATTTTGTATAAGAGAAATAGTTCAGTTGTCTAACGATTCGCTGGAAACTGAAGTTGTAAGACAATGGGTGTAACGTTTGAAAGGGAATTTAGCCCAGGTTTCCTAGCAGGTAAAACCAAAAGGGCAATATAGTATTTATCATCTGACAAAAGCATACAAGCTCAAGCGTAGCTGTAAACTTTTTCTGGACTTAAATCTCAAGAAGGGATTCATGGCGGGGGCTTGTACAAAGTGAGACTGGATGCCCCTGTAGTTGTCTGTTAACTATGCTGTACTGAACACCTAGAGACACTGTTGAAACCAGCAGTTCTCGAGTTTCTGCTGAGTCTTTCTTATTACAGTCATGTGCCACTTAACGATGGGGAGACGTTCTAAGAAATGCATCATTAGGTGATTTTGTGGTCATGCGAACATCACAGACTGCACTTACACAAACCTCATGGTACAGCCTACTACACACCTAGGCTACATGGTACCAACCTTATGGGACCACTGTCATATATGTGGTCCTTCATTGACTGAAATGTCGTTATGCAGCACACGACTGTATTTGATTTTTAAGTATGTGCAAAAAATTAATAAAAACATTCATTTTCATGTTCACATCAGGAAACGATACTACTCAGGCTCAGGCCACATGCTGGAATGCTCCCAGGTTGTTGCTGGGCTATGGGGAAAATGGGCCACACGAGTCCTGAAAAGCCCCAGGCAGAGCCAGCACCATAGCGTGTGCCTGAGCCTGCTGCATGAGCAGGAGTTCCAAGAGTGAGTGAGAAGCAGGCACAAATAAAAGGATTATTCTGGCTGTGGTGTTAAAAAGAAAAAAAACGAAATAAAAGTAAACTTGAGACCTAAAATTAAAAGAGGCATTTAATAGCCCACTCAAAAGATGACAGAGGGGCTGGGCCAGCGGTGTAGTGGTGAAGTTCTCGTGCTTCGCTTCTGTGACCCAGAGTTCCCAGGTTCAGATCCAGGGCATGGACCTAGCACTGCTTGCCAAGCCACGCTGTGGTGGCATCCCACATAAAATAGAGGGAGACTGGCACAGATGTTAGCTCAGGGACAGTCTTCCTCACAAAAAAAAAAGATGACAGAGGCTTAGGCTAGAGGCAGGTGCTTCTGACGGGTATAACCAGCTGCCTGGATTACACCTGCCCTCGCTCCACTCCGCTCCATGGTAAACAGCAGTCCACGCATCCAGTGCACAGCACACAAGTGTAGATTTGCTCATGGAAAGTTAAGCAGTCCCCACCTCATGGCTCCTATGTTCTTAACAGCCATAAAGCAAGATCAGCAGAGACCAGGAGTTTGCGGTGGGGATATTGAGAAGCGGAGTGACTTTGCCACATGGTGTGAGTGACCACATGGGTTGTGACCACAGACTCACAGGAAGCCACGCTGTCACAGAGCCACACAGGGAAGGAAGACGGGTGGCCTCAACCTGGGTAAGTCTGGCCTTCTTGACATCAATAAATAAAATTATAACGGCCGATAACTGAGTACCGACACTTCTAGGAATCCTTCTAGTGATGGTCTCTCAAACTGTGTAGAATTAGTTGCTGGGGTGACTAAATATTTCTTTAAAAACAAAAAATAAATCTTATTTTAGGCAGATGACCTCTAACAAAGGAACTCCCCAGGAGGGTCAACACTATCTCCAAAGGAATTTCGATTTGAAATGTAGGTAAAGGTCACTTACGCAAACACAATGTCCCCTCTTTTAGAGTAAGCAGGAATAGCACTGGCTATAGTGGCAAACCCATACGAGTATATGATGGCTTCTTCTGTCTTCATAAATCTTGCCAGGCGGTCTTCCAGATCCAAGTGCACATCTATTCCAATAGTCAAAGTTAAATGGTTAGACTGCCTTATAATCCTTTTATTCAACTACGAAACAAAGAAAGTAACGTAAAGCAGTTTAGTTATTAACACTTTCACCTTATGGCCAAAATGAAATTACTTTTAAGTTATACTTTAAATTACAAATTATACAATCTACTAAGATACTTCTGGGCCAAAACAATTTATAGAATCTGTGAACTGAATCAGCTCCTCATCTCTCCAAAAAACACGTCCTGGGGCAGCTCCCACTCCGGGTCTTGCTTTCATATCCCTCAACCACAAGAACTCGAGGCCCAGTGACTTTACCTGCTTTAACTTCCCTCAGCCAACAACACTGAGGCTTTATCAGTGTAAGACATTTGTTTTATCAACACCCTTTTGCATTTTAGCAGATGGTACCAAACCAGGCACTAAGGCAAATATCAACTAGCTTTCAAAAGGAAACAAAAGAAAAAAGAAAAGTAGTTCATTCGAAGAGAACCCGGCACACTCTGCATCAAGACAGTGAGAGCTGGAACGGTGGTGGTCACCCCTCCAACAGTCTGTGTCAGCACTTAGTTGTGGCACCTGCCATCACTCTGCAGGACTGAGCTTCTGTCTGAATTTCTTTTTAAGTGTACTGGGGAATCAAGTTCACAGTACAAAGAAAACATGGTCCTTTTATAGAAGCAGCTTAAGAAGAATGTTGATGTAATAATGGGGCTAAATCCTAACCACTAAACTGGTACTTTTTCCCTCTCTTACATCACAGTTCCTTGCAGCCTTTCACCTTGCCAGGCTAAGCCAGGAGCCTTCACGCCCTGGGCTGGAGGAACCAGCGACGTCTAGCATGAACAGTGTGCTGACTGACACTGAACCTGAAAACTTCAAAGTGGTTTTCAAAGGAGGCGTCTCCCAGGAGACAAAAGGATTTTTAAAACTTCCTTTAGCTCTTTTAACAGCAAGACCCGAGCCTGAGAATTAGATGAGAGTTTTTCCACATGCCCTGTGCAAGGAGACCTCAGAAGCTGACATAGGGAGGGTGCAGCCAGGCCCCTCCAGTCTTGCAGATTCACGAGAGAAGAGGGGAAACAGAGGTGGTAAAGACACATTTTGAGACCATGGAAGAGGGAGCCGCGGCACGTGCACTGAGGGGAACTTGGAAGTCGAGGCAGTTGCAGGGGACTCAGACGTTCCCCACTGAGGGGTGGTGGGGAGGGCTGATGGCCTGGCAGAGCCCTCCCACCCAGACGTCGGGGTCCCATGGGTGGGGGCATCACTCCAGGAGACTGGTGAACTGCCGCCCCTCAGCATGAGCCTTCCCTTCAGGGAGCACCAGCACTGGCGCCTCACTGCAGAGACCAGGGAGAAGGCCAAGCCCTGCCCCTCCCTGCTCCAGAAGGACAGGGATGCCACCTCACCCCCAGAAGCCTTCTTAGTGGGAAGCAGGAGAGGGACAAGACCCGAAGGACTGAGAAACACGAAAGAGATGACTTAACCCAGCTGGGTACAAAGCTTGATTTTGAGTGGACTAAGTATTTCCACTGTAAGGACAGAGACATGGTTAACTGTCAAGGGTAGGGCTTCCACCACCTTCCAGGAAGGGACAAGTGAGTAAGGCCAGTTCAGGCACAGGAAACAAAGAAACAACTTCTTAGCACAACTGAATAAAACATCTAAAATCTGTAAACCCACGCACTGACTCGTCAGAGGCAAGCTAATCTTACTGTGATGCTTCTGACTAGGACAGCACTCCCCCCGTCTGCAGCTTCGCTTTCTGAGGTTTCAGATACCCGCAGTCAACCTCAGCCCAAAAATATTAAATGAAAAACTCCAGAAATAAACAATTCATAAGTTGTAAACTGTGCATCACTCTGAGTAGTGCGATGAAATCTCACGCCATCCCCCTCCATCCTGCCCAGGACGTGAATCATCCCTCTGTCCAGCGGGTCCACGCTGTAGAGGCCAAGCGCCGTTAGTCACTTAGTAGCCATCTCGGCTATCAGATCGACTGTCTCTGTACTGCAGGGCTTGCGTTCATGGAACCCTTATTTCACTTAATAATGGCCCCAAAGCATAAGATCAGTGATGCTGGCAATTCAGATATGCCAAAGAGAAGCCGTAAAGTGCTTCCTTTAAGTGAAAAAAATTGAGTTCTCAACTTAATAAGGAAAGGAAAAAATCATATGCTGAGGTTGCTAAGATCTATGGTAACTTTTATTACAGTATATTGTTATAATAGTTCTATTTAATATTAGGTATTGTTGCTAATTTCTTAGTGTGCCTAATTTATAAATTAAACTTTACCAAAGGTATGTATGTTCAGGAAAAAACATAGTATATATAGGTTCAATACTATCCGTGACTTCAGGCGTCCACTGGATAAGGGAGGACTATTGTAAAAGGCAAAATTAAGAAATATAAAAGTTGCAACTTCACAAAGGACTGCATTTTAAAAAGGAGATGAGCGGGGTCCAACACTCTTCTTGGTTAATTCATTTATTAATCAAACATTTAGTAATACCACATAAAGACAGATACTCTGATAAGCACTGGATCAGGGAGAAATACAGAATTTCTGCCACTGACAAAGTGACGTAGCTGAGAGAGGCACCTGGCAGCTGTCATTGGAGAGCTTGAGGCCCGGAGAGCGGGTACAAGGCTACGCTGTGCCTCTCACCTACTGGTCTGAAGCCCCGGGGTCCCTCCCACACTCAGAACTACAACACATCCACAGTGGTTTCTGACTGAAGACAGAGAACACTAGACTGTGAACCAAAGGCTGGGGTGGGAACCAGCCAGTGAGCGAGGGAGCAGAGGACACAGATGGTCTAAATTAAACCCCAATTTGAAGGCAAGAGAGATATAGTGAGGAATTAGAACATTCAGCAGCAATATCCAGAAAAAAAAATAAATTGAAGCCCATTTTATTTATAGACTTCTTCAAGGATGTTACAGAACTGTGAAAATCAACTATCTATCCCACGGCAATCAAGTGATGATAAAAAACTAAGCATGCTTCTTCCTATTTGTCAGTTTAAATGTGTACCAACATAGTCTATTATGCTAAAAACACAAGAATTACCATTTGATTTCCATTACCAATGGGTGATAGTCATTTTGTAAAAATGACACTTTCAATATATCAACATTAAATAAATGTGGGCTTCTACAATAATGAAGTTAAGAAGAATGTATTCCATTTGATCAAAATGGTACCAAAAAGGCCCTTAGCTCTTCAAGCATCAGATATGAGACATCGACACCACAAAGTCTGAGGACTTGACCCTGCACCTGACTGTCCACTCATCTATGAGTGATGCTGCCAGGGAAAGTTTCAGGCAAAATCTGACAAACACGAGGAAAGCAGCAGAGCACCAGAGAACCAGCCGCCCCCATGCAGCCGAGCACAGACACCCCTCACCCAGGCCTACCCTTTCCTCGGCTTGAGTGCTGAGCACCCTCCCTTCAGGCAGGACCTGCCACCCCACTGCCTCTCTCTTCTGATCAGAGGTGAGGGCAGAGCCCCCAAAGGACGCCTCCTTCAAATTGCAATGCACCTCTCAACTGGGACTATCTACGCCAAATCTCCACAATTTAGCTAGCAGATGGACAACACAAGCCACAATGAATTGCTTTCATTCAACAGCTCCAGTTCAAAAAGAAAAAACATCCTATGGATGCAAACTATCTTTGCTAACTACAAAAGGGATGTCAAATCATCCTGTAGACTTCTGAAATGATCTTCTCATGGATTAGCAAGGATGCACTAAGACAATCCTGGCTTTGTTTCAGGGCTTTAGAGTTAGCTGCCCAGGGGATGAAAACTGTATTTTCGGAGTATTCTCATCGTTATATATACTCATAACCGTTTTTATGTTGTTGCCATAAAGAGGTAAGAAGAATCTCTATACAATAAATCAATGACTTATTGGCTCTTGCCTAATCCCAAAAGTTTAAAAAAGACTGGCCTTTTTTCCTCCTCCTATCTAAACACATTGGGTTTTCGCTGCTGTCAGCCTTGGAAAGCTGGTTTTGTGATAGATAAGTATGTGATAGATAAGAAGCTGCATAACTTCTCTCGATGTATGATAGCTACTCTGGGTAACAAAGAAACTCAACCCAAGGGAGGGGGAGGCAGCAAACAGGAAAACTGCCAGGGCATATTCCCCGACTTCTGATGTTGTCTTCTGTGTGTATGATCCATTTTACTGATTGGCCATAGATTTGCATGGAATGCAAGTAAAGTGCTAGCTACATTCTCCAATTCACTGCCAGGAATGATCGCAATAGGGAAGGCCATGGGAGGAGGTGGCCAGAAAGCCACTCGCTGTCCTTTCTCCCACCTGCTCTCTCACCAGAACGTAAGAGATGGGAGGCAGGGCCAGTATGGGATGCCCAGCACCCAGCGCAGGGCCTGGCCATGGCGGTCATCACAGGGGGTTCAGATCTGGGCTACCTCATCACCAGATGTGGACCCTGGACAGGCCTGAAACTGCTGTGTCTCTCAGGTCCTTCCTCTAGCAAATGGGTAACAGCTATACCCACCTCAAGGATTCTTATGAGACCTGCATGAGTTAATGCTTATAAAACACTCAGAACAAAGCCTGGCGTGGAATAGGCTGTGTAAGTGTTTAATCAACTAAATCAATATTTGTAGAATAAAAGAAAAGATCTTCTTTTAAAAGGAAAAAAGTTGCACTATCTTCTAATTAAGTCATCCAAATCCCAAATACTTGAGGACTATCTCACATTAAAGCCCCTTGTTCAGCTTCCCATTTATATGACATCTGCTCAGAAGAAGAAGAGATGTTAGAGCCTTCTTGGTTGTTTTGCAGAGGAAAGCCCATTAAACTGTCAACTTTAGAACAGTTTAAAAACAATCAACCAACTACATTTTCTCCTAAGGCCTCCATATTTTTGTGTTACACACTTTTTTTAAAAGTCCCTTGAGACTTGGACAATTTTTATTAAAAGTAAAAATATCATTTATACACTCATCAGAACATAAATACAGTGAATGTTTTCACACACAGAATCTTATGTGATTCTTACCAAAATGTTCTAAGCTGTGCAAAGAAGGCCTGTTCCCCCACTACACTGTGAAAACTACAGTCCCATGACTGGGAGGAAGAAGTGGCAGATCCAGGAATTTTATGACCAAATGTTCTTCCTACTAAAATATGCAGTCATGGTTCAGTTGACTGTGCTAAAACAAAGAAAGAAAATATTTTTAAAAATAAACAAATGAACAATTGTTTACTATTGGCTCTAGAAAACAAATGCCACTATCGCTCACCATGAAACCCTGCCATTATCTTTTGATCTAGTTTAAGACCAAAGAGCCAAGGAGGCATTGTATATGCAAAGCAGATCCTGGGGCACCAGTGATAAACCACAGGTAAACGAGATCTGAATGTATTAAAAACAAAACAAATAAACAAAGAAGTTCAACCAGAAACTACAAAAGCACACTGGGATCCCATTGGCCTTAGAGGAAAGGAAGGCTCCACAACCTGATAAAACCACTTGCTTGGTTCTAAAATCCACACTAAAACAATAAAATGAGAAGGCAGAAAACCTTCTGATCACATAGTCCTTGTAAGAATGTCATAAGAACTTGTTTACTTCTACCTGCCAGGCCTTTAGGAGGCAGGAGAACGTTTAGCCTAAGAAACTAGATGAATTTTAACTCAATCGTTGTTCAATTTTCTTTTTCTGTATTAATCATCTAATGTCATGTACACGTTATAGTGAAATAAAAAGAGAGAATGTTTTAACACGGAAATTTACTTTTACAAGTGATTTACATTCATGATCTGAAAAGTTGAGCAAAGATCGGAGAGAATTTACATCTTTGAAAATGGATGCCTGAACGTAACACTTCAAGAAAAAAAAAGACAAAATCAAAAGCAAGCTTTGGGGGTTCAGAAAAGAGACCCCAGGCCTCACGAATACACAAGCATCTTCAAACGAGAGGAAAGGGGTCCTCACATCTGCTTTATGCAGCTCAAAGGGCAAATATACCCTAAATATCTAGAATAATTTAATTGTGGAGGGTATTTTAGAGATTTAAAATTCAGCCTTAGCTGACCTCAAGTAGCTTCTCTGATCTTATCTAACACTGAAATTTCAAGGTAATTTAATGTAACTACAATAATTTAAGTAATTACTTCCAGAATAAGGAAAAACACTGAAAATATCCTGTTGGAAAACCAAAAACGAAAAATATGGACAATATTATAAAGAAAGAAAGGAAGATGACAAGTAAGCATGGGCAACTGTTCAGATGGAACGCGGTGTGCTTATCAGAGGCTGACACACTTGGAGGGTGTTACCTTAAGACAAGCTGTTGTTTGGTGTCTTGTTACAAAACCACCACAATGCAAATTAACCTCCAACCTTTGTCCAGATGCCACAGTCTGTCTGAACCTTCAACCGCAGTTAGGATAAGGACTCAGTGACCAATAAGACAGTTGATAGAGGAGTTCGTACACAGCTATGTGTTCATTACACCACTGTGGTGACCCATTCAGACACTGGAAAGATCAATCCAATTTAAATTTAAAACAAACTCAATCCAACGGCAAGGGACAGAACACATATGTGATATGCTATCATATTTGTAAAAAGAAGGGGGGAAATGTATGTATGCAAGTGGTTTGCATCAGCTGAAAAAAAGTCTTCGGAAGAATGAACGAGAAACCACTGAGAGCAGTCTTTTGAGAGTGGATGGTGGTGGGGAGACTTCACTCTCCATCTCGTAAACCTTTTGAATTTTATATCATGGACCAAATTATTCAATCAAGAAAATTAATTTGAAAACCATTCATCTAAAGACCCTACATTTGGAAGCACAAAGCACCCTACTATACACTCAAAACTTCAGGTGATCCAAATGAAAAGCTGACTGGGCTGTTTTAACAATATATTTCCACTGCTCTGGGAAAAATTGTCTCAAAGATTTGAATTTTTTTTTTCCACGTCTTGATTTAGCAATAAATCTCTTATCTGTCTTCTCAGATTAACTCCCAAGCAGGGGCCAATGTCACACATGCAAATAAAATCCACTAGAAAAAGAGGCTTTTAAGAAAGCAACTTCTTTACCCTAGCAAGCAGATCACGGAAAGCAAGCCTTGTTGATCAGATTACAACAAACAACCCCATAAAAAAAACGCCTTTTCTAGTTTTCTAATACTTATCAAGGAAATTATTCCCTACCCATAAAAACCAAGCAAACAACCCAGGTTTGCACTAGACTAGAGGAGAGAAGGAGACTCTGCTTTGAGCTTAAGTCTTTGATCTTGCCATTAAGATTGGGAGTCAAGATACTTGGTTTCTAGTTTTAGGGCTGAAATTAATGAGCTGTGTGTCCATGAGGAAGTCACTCAACCTCTCTGGGCTTTCCATTCTTCTTCGAATAGCTGGGATGCTGGAATACAAGATTTTTAAGATCCTTTACAGCTGTAAATTCTTGGACACTAACCCCCAATCATCTGTTTCCAGTACAAATAATTTAACCACTAAACTAGCTAAGGAATGAAGAAAGGCACTCTCTTAAAAATATCTGAATTGTTAAAGTGAAAAAAACACAGAAAGACCCAGAAATGGAAAAGAGGACAGAGAACAGAAGAGACTTTCCTTGCTCTACTTTCCCTACACTCTGACATTTTGTAAGCCAGAATATTATTTCCAGTAATATATTCATTTGAACAATTATTTAACATGTTCAAAGTTCCCAGAAGCAAAGAACAACATACACTTTATAAAAATAACCACAAAATGCCAGGTCTTCTGCGATGCCTCTGAGTTAGGGAGTTCGCAGTGTTTGAAATCACACTCTCATCCTAGTACATAGTTAGCCTGTCCCCGGTCATCCACACAAGGAAATCAAGGATCCTTCATCTTCATCCTAGAAAGAAAACAGCTACGTAGTCGATCGCCTCCCAGTCTGTTCTTGCCTTTCTCCCCTGCACGTGGCAGCTGCCCAGCTGGAGCTAGCTCCTAGCCCCCTTTGCAGCGAGGCATGGCCCGGGCTGTGTTCTCACCAGTGGACTGTGGGCAGTGATGTGCAAGCCGCCCGCCCACCTAATAGGGTTCTGCCGCCCTGCACTCCTGCTCTCTCACCCGCACCACGTGGCTCGTCACGAAGGCCGGCGCCTTTGACACTAGAGCAATGAGACGGGAAGATCCAGGCTCCTGCACAGGTGTGAAGAGCAGAGCCACCCAATACCAGACCCTTCCCCATCCCCCTGCCGTGCATGCCCGACTGTGCCTCCTCACACCCGTCTCTGGGGGCACTGCGACAGCAGCTCAGGCTTCAGCCGACCAAGACAGCGTACCTGAGGCACCTGCGGCTCCTCTCCACAAGTGACATTCAACCCAGACCAACGCACCTCCCACCAACGGTTCCCAACAGGAAATGTTCTAGAAAGCTGGATAAGAAATAGCACTCACCAGCTTAACACCACAACTAATTAAGGATATCTTTTCTAAGGAGTTTTGAAATCAAACAATCTTAATTCTCGAAAGTAGCAGTCTGAAAAACACGACAGAAACGTACCAAATGTGCCATAAAATCCTCTAGGTCCGCAAGTCCCCACACCATACTTCTTCAGAGACGCCAAAGCTGCTGCCTTTGCGGAAGTAAAAAGAAATTAGATTTTAATGATTTACGTTAAGAGTTCGAAACTGACATTTCCTATTCTCGAACCCACGTGACTCCTCTTTCCTCCCTCCCCAGCTCTCCTTCCTTTCTTAGAACTATGACAATTCTAACAACAGGATATAAAGAAAAGACAGACATAATGATTTAGGTTTATGACTTAAAACACAGACAAGTTGTACTTTAGCTTGATTATCAAAATCTGGTCAACACGATGCCTTTATACTTTTTTGGCGTTTATGGACATAAGCTTTTCCTCAAAAATGTTCACTGGCCCAGAATCCCAACAGAAGATGGGGCCATTTCCTAGACACATCTCTGACTATGAGCCAGGTCTGGCACACATAGTTCTCTGGCTGTCACCCATCACTAAGCCACTTCAGACCCTCTTGCTACCCTTTGTCAAAACCCAGGCTACAGCTGTCAGAAGAATAACGGCACTCACTCACACAGACCTCTCCGACGTGCTGCATTTGTCCCTTATTCTACGTCAGTGAGGCTACTGGTCCACTTCAGTATATGTGCTACTTACCTTGACCCTAGGATTATCCAAGAGTCCAAGAAAATTAAATGAGGCGAAGTTTACACACTTTTTTCCATTCACCACGATGCTGTGGCTTGGAGGGCTGGGGAAGAGACAAGAATGGCACACATCAGCAGACATTCTGGGACAGGGCGCACCCTGTCACCTTACCCTGGAGGCAGACAGGTCACATGAGTGTTGTTATGGTACCCTATTTGCATACCAGGCTCCTAGCTTTTATTTTTCATTTTTAAAAAGAAAAATTAGAAAATGGTATTAAAAAAATCAGATTTAATTCAAATGTTCTTAATAGTCTACCCTGTACTACTTAAATAAATTCCAAGGTGGATAGATGAATGGGAAATCTCTGCTTTGGTCTTAAAACTCACTTAAGAAAGAAGCAGCTAAATAAGGTACCTCAGAAAAAAATCTGGAATACGACAAACAGGGAGGAAATATAAAAAGATCAAGAGCAAAAGCAAGACTAAGCAGAGCAAGTTACGATCTGACAGTTACGCGGTTTAAAAATACCTGTTATTTATAGGAAGCCACTAAAAGAATAAGTGGGACATGCTCCCCAGGTCTAAAGTTAATGCTGGAGTACTATCTGAGAGGAATCCCCCTGGCCCTGTGGGAAAAAAGAGGCAACAGGGTGGCCAGCAGCACAGGAGCAGGATGCGAACCAGGCTGGGACAGGAGAAGGGCTCTCAAGTCCTCTGCTGACAAATACTCCAGCCACCAGCCGTCCTGCAAAAACACGGGGCCAAACTACAGACACGGGCTTCAAGGGTTGTGAGACCAATTTAGTCAGTCACGACCAGCCTATTTTAACTAGGGGAAACTGTAAGAATAGACTGGAATAGAAAATAACAGAATGCACTGCACAGGGCACGGGAAAGGACTGTGGCCTGGAACTCATACAGTGACACATATGCACTCGTCTACACACTGGGCTGCTCTACAAAATGCACTGCAGTCAGAACAGACTGAGAAACACTGCTCTTGTTGGTATGTTTTAACAGAACGAGTTTTCTATGAAAAATTTAGCACAAGATGCAGGGAAACCAGGGAAAGAAGACCACTTGAAGCAAATTCACAAAAGCAGACAAACTCATCCAAATGGCAAGGAGCCTCAGTGAAAAGAACACGGGCTGTAGAGTCAGTGAGACGGATCCCACATGCATTACGGCTCCTGACGGCTTCAGAAGCCTGGGGACGTTACCTGGCCTCCGCAAGCCTCAGTTTCCTCATCTACCAAGTGGGGAGAGAAGTTACCTCTCAAGGTGATTGTCACTATAAAAGTGCCTGGCCCATAAGAGGTGCTCTCTACACATTTTCTTCCTTCTTCTCTACAGCTTCAAGGGCTTCTTTTCTTTCCAAGCACTCACTGTGATTCTGAATCCATCATGTCATTTAGTTCCCTACTTCTCGGGACGTCTTTAAGTTTCCTAAGTCCTCCCTGGTGTGGAGGTGCTGGCACTCACACAAAGACGAAGAGTCAAAACACTCATGTAGACAAGCCTGTACTAACGGGTGCTGATGTGAAAATCGAGGCCACTCTACAAAGCAGTCACACACATAGAAATCCAACTATCAAGAAGAAGTCCACCCAAAGCCCCTGACCACAGCGGACAAGCCGCTAAGAGGCAGCAGGATGTGGGGACATAGGGATCTTGTTTCTGTGCAGCACTTGGGGCAGAGAAGGAAAACAGAGCCCAGTGAGAAACGGAAGGCTGGCACCTGTGCCTCGCAGGCTTGCAGGAATAAGTCACGCTGGGCACTTGACACAGGAGTCCTGGAGCCTAAAACCCTCAGGGTCCCTCGCAGAAGCAAATAAAACCGATCTAGAAAAATATGTCCACAATCAAGGCCTCAGAGGACTTGAAGGAAGAAAAATGAAACCCTTCCCAATCAAACACCACAACCTCACTGTTAGTGACAGTCAGTTCCCAATCATATACGTGAACTTGGAAATAGGGAGGATGGTGCTTTACCAGAAAGAAACAAATATGACAGACCCCTGTTAACAACCAGTTTGGCAGTGAAGCGAGAACAGGCAACTAAACCAATGAAAGAATCAAGAACTGTCTATATACAAATACCTGGCAAATGACAGCAGCTGACCCACAAACTACTAAGTTACACCTATTTCCTTCTCTGTGGAGAAAAATAAAGTTGAACAACCATGTACAAAGGTGAACTCCAGACATTAAAAACCTGAAAGATATTTTGGAAGAGATAACAGAGGAAAATGTAGAAGAATGTCTTTGTGACCTTGGAGTATGAAACGATTTCTGAAATAAGTCTCCAAACACACAAACTGAGGCCAAAACGGATGAATCTGACCAAGTTAAAATTAAGAATTTTTGTTCAGTGAACATACCAAAGACAAAGTTAACAGGTGGGTGATAAAGAGATTTCTTGTACTTCAGATGGTATCAACTGAATTTTATCTACCACTAAGGAAGAAAAACAGTGCCCATTAAAATATAACTACGTTTTCTTTTCATCTAGAATTTTTTATTTATATTTAATGAAAAGTTCTAGTAGGCGTTCATAGACAGAGACTTTTGTCACGCTACTTTTTTACTTACATAAAGGAAAATATAAGCAAGATAAATCAGTCAAGACATTCCTAAGCTTATTACCCGAGTTCTGGCCATCTGCTCCCCTGTGAAGCCACGGATACCACAGGGATTCACACAGTATTCTCCTCCCCGCCATCAGGAGTATCCCAGCATTGCTCAGGAGGACGCTCCACTTTCATCTCTGAGATTACCCAACAAGTTAGTGTCACCCATTCTCTACATTAAACTCCTAGTTTCACCTTTCCCCAATCGAACCACATGCTTCTAAAAAGTAAGCTGCTATTATCCAAAGGCAGCAGAAAGGGATGTTCACAGCCTTAGTCATAGCCACCTCTGTTCATCTGCTCACAGGGGTCTGGCCATTTCCCCCGCCATCAGCTGACTGACTTACCAGCAGCAGTCATAACCCAACTAAGCGCTGGCAGCAAGCAGAGCCGTGAGCCGGTTCATCGGTACACGGGCAGTGACAACCCCCCTGGCTGACGACGACTCTCGGCAGCTACAAGATCCACCCCCATTTTAGAGATATTAATACAGGAAAAAAACGTGTTTTAGAATCAACATCAAAAACTGACCAAGGATTAAAACCTACGAAGTATATAGGAGCCTTGCTAATCAAAAGACCAGCTGGGAATCAGGTAGAAAAAGAGGTACAAGATATGAAGAGGCATTCACAGAAGGAGAAAATGCCAGCAGCTAATAAGTAGATGAAATGATACTCAAAGGTTCAAATAATGAGAGAAATGCAAAATAAAACAATGTTGCCGGACAGGGCTGTGAGGAAAACCCCATATACAAACTCAGGGGAGCATAGACAGGTGGATCACAACGTTAAAAAGTCCCACAGGGAAATGAGACGGGCATAAATCAGCACACACTCCAGGTTCGACACCACCCAGGAGACTCAGTCTGCAAGGGGATATTATCACAGGATTTTCTGTGCAGTGGGGAGTGGGGCAGCTTAGGTACCCACTTGAGAAAAACGGCTAAGCGGAAGGCGGTGACAACACACAACAGAATATTATGCAGCAGGGAGAAGAAACAAACAAGAGGCACATCTAGCAACCCCCCTCGCTCTGTTTGCCCTGCTCTGATATTTCTTCACACCCCTTCACACAGCTGACCTTCTAATCACTTCATTGTTGGTCTGTCTGCCCCAGGAGAACAAAGATTTTGATTTATTACTATAAACTAATCTGCTCAGCACATTCCTTAAACATAGTAGGCACTCAAATATTTGTCGGAAAATGTTTTGAGTAAAAATCTTGTAAAAAGTCAGAACGAAGTCTAGAGCATAAAATTAAAAATACACATTCATAAAATATCAAGACTGTGTGGTTTCAAAGATACATACATCAAAATACTAAAACATATCATTTTAATAGCATGGAAATATATAACACACGAAATGTTAATAGGAAGCATAATGAAAGTATCACAGTGGGTGCCTCAGTGGGGAGAAGAATGGATGTGGGCGCTGAGGATGAAGGAAATAAAGAACAGAGCACCCGGGGCCGGCTCCGTGGCCGAGTGGTTAAGTTTGCATGCTCTGCTGTGGCGGCCCAGGGTTCAGATCCTGGGCGTGGACATGGCACCACCTGTCAGGCCACGTTGAGGTGGCGTCCCACATCCCACAACTAGAAGGACCTGCAACTAAGATATACAACTATGTATGGGGGGGTTTGGGGGGATAAAGCAGAAAAAAAAAAAGAATATTGGCAACGGTTGATAGCTCAGGTGCCGATCTTTAAAAAAAAAAAAAAAAAAGAACAGAGCACCCCAGTGGGACCAAGCAGGAGTGTTTTCATTTAAATGACCATCTGAAATATCATGTGTGTATAGTACTCTGACAAAAGATCTTTTTTTAATAGAAAAAAGAAACAAACTGTAATGCCTAAATTAGAGACTATAAAAAATGCCCATACCATCCCTAAAAGAAAGCTTTATACTGGGGACTAAAGCAGTGATCTCTAGAAATTTCTGAATGTTTTCTTTTAGTTAAGAAAGAAATACTACACTAGAAAGCACTGTACACGTCGGCGAGCACACCTACAGGAACCAATACACAAGTGTTTCGAGTAGCGAACCAATTTACCCGGAAACGATGTTGTAGTTGAGAGCAGGATGGTCTTTTGGGACAGGAGGAACAAGAGGTTCTGGTTGCCACTCTTCAATCAATTCTTCCTTTTCCTACAGGAGAGAAGGAGTTAAAACACAGCACAGTGCATCACTGGACAGCAACTCCAGCAGTACCCAAATTGTTTGTTGAAAGGGAACCGTCATAACGAACACATAGCTAGAAACAGAGGTCCAGCTGTTGTGGTTGGAAATCACTAGTGAATTTTCTGCGCTTAACCCCTCGCCTCTTTCCTCATCACAGGCTAAAGGCTCTTTTTCCATGTAGCTTTGTGTGTGACTGCAAAAGTTAAGAAAACTTTATCTCTCTGCTCAGGATTTTGCACTGTGGGAAGTAGGAAGTATAACTTATACTGACAGCAAGACAAAAAGAAGTCTATAACACAAAGGTGAGACGCACGACCGTGGGTAGTGAGCTCAGCCCCTGTTCCATGATATTACAGATAGCCAGACCCTAAGTCCTTACAGATGCCAGTCATGGGAAGGGATCATCTAGACCACAAAGCACTGTTTCCCACGAGCCATTGGCAGGGATTCAGAAGTAGCTGAAATATAGAAAAAGACTCTCTTATAATTATTATTATAATAGGACTTAGTTGCTTGGAAATTTCTCATAAAAAGCCACTCTATCTCTTTTGTCCGTTACTTCATGCATGACAACTACCTTGACTATTTGAGTTTCTTATCCTTTCTTGAATCAGAAAAAAAGGTAATCTGGAAAATGTAGTCTGGATGTACAAGATAACACGAAGTACCTAAATTAACATAACAGTCACAGCCATTCTTGCCTTACAGACACGCCCACTCTCAATGGTTCTGTTCTCATACTTCTGTCACATGCTTCTGGGCATTTTTCTCCTGAGAGCTAACTCCAGGGCAGGGCCAAGAGCCCGATTCACCTGCTTCACCTGATGCTGAGGCACTCAAAAACACTGGCTGAACAAATCAACCAATAAATTCCTCATCTGTTTCTGCCACTGACCGCATGGGAGAGAACTGCAGCCCACACAAGCCTGGGGTATGGGTCCAGCAGACCATCCACTTGCTACCATGGAGAGAGACATTAGAATCAACTCAAGATCCCTTGGTATTCAAGAGCCTCTGCAGATTTATAAAACTGAGAAGGGCATTTCGACTACGTTGCCATAAGTGAAGCTTTAAAAACACTCACAGTTTTTTTCTTCCTTCCACAGCTTTCAGGGTAAGATGTCACTGACGACTGAATCCTGCTTTAGCTAAGTTTTGCTTTCGAGGATTATTCTAAAATTATTTTCAGTATCATTCTTTTTAAAAATGTATATATGTGTGCATTCTTTAGACACTTCTGCTTCCTAAAGCTCGCCCAGCATGCCTTGAGCTAAGTCCCATAGAGAACACGTCACAATTCAGTCTAGGTGGGGAGGTGGGGAGTAGCGGGGTGAGGAGGATTGCTTCCAACTCTAATTGAAATGTTTAAATTAAAACTAAGAATATTAGGATTGATCAGCTCTTACAAATCTGGGCTAGAAATCTGTTTCATGGCCACATAATCATTCACAAGGAGTTCCTAAATACCAAGGGAAAAAAGGAGAGACAGGATTTCTGACCTAGATGGCCCAGTCTTACTGTAATGCTATTGAAAGACTGCTCCATGGCAGCCTAATGCCACAAGGTATTCACAAAAAAGGAAGGGAGGAACTGTGGTGAAGTTTAGGGCATCCCTTCAAAGAGAGGTTCAAATATCCACTGCCATATTAAAGGTCATAAGAAATTATGCAGGGCCCAGCCCCGTGGCTGAGTGGTTAAGTTCAGGCACTTGCTTTGAAGGCCCGGGGTTCTGCCAGTTCAGATCGTGGGTGGGGACATGGCACCTGGGCACAGACCTAGCACCACTCGTCAGGCCATGCTGAGGCGGTGTCCCACATAGCAGAACTAGAAGGACCTACAACTAGAATATACAACTAGGTATGGGGGGCGCTTCAGGGAGAAGAAGTTGGGGGGAAAAAAGGAAGACTAACAACAGATGTTAGCTCGGGTGCCAATCTTTAAGAAAAAAAAGAAATCACGTGATGAGACAATCTTTACTCTGCTTTACCCAGATTTCCAAAACTTATTTGCCCTAAGAACCATTTGCTGCATGTCCCCTAGGGCACACTGCCTGACTGTCTCATGATTAATATTGATGATCAGGACAGCAGTAGCCAGTCAGCAAAAACAGGGAAGCAATCGCCACGTTGCTGTGGTAATTCCACTCCACTCGAACTTTCTCCTGTGAATGCTCCAGCAAGTAAAGCCCAGAGCTTCATCTCTGTGCTGTACTCAATGCTGCCTTGTGAACCAAAATTTTTAGAGATTTTTGTGGGAAAACATCTCTCCCAGACCCTGTCTCCCTGAGCATTCTGGCACAAGGCTCTAGGGGCTGCACAGGGAAAGGATCCAAGTGACAGAAACCATGCTGCAGCCAAAACTGCTCTTTCCCCTCACACTGGGGCCCAGCTCCCCAGTGCTGCAACCTGAGCGAAGGGTAAGCTGCCGTCCCTCAAGCCCCTGCGTCCCTGTACTAATGGACTGCAAGTGGGCCTCAGCACAGACCCGCCAGACACTTTTGCTCCCTAAGGTTCGTCCCACTTGGCCTTCAGCTGGGCCCTCAGAACACAGTATAATTCAATTTGGGGTGGGGCGGGATTCTTTCCAACTCCGAATTTCCTTTATGAAGACCACAGGGAGCACTTTCACTTAGGTTTCAGAAATGGTGGTGCTTTTCCTGAGCAACTCATGCAATCTTGCAAATGAACATTCGAAATGCAGCAGCTGCCCATGCTGCCCTTCCACCATCTATTCACCAGACTGCTGTTCACCCCTAGCAAGGCACAGAGCCCGGTAACACAGTACTCTTCAGGGTACTGACTTCATCCCTGGCATCCCATGCTTTGTCTACCCTGATACTTCATTCCCCCTGATTTCCCTACCTTACAGAAAACATTTTAACATATATAGTTGAGGGGCCACAAATCCTTTTTGGAAAGACGCAGTAACTATAATCATATACTGAATAATAAAACAGATTTAATCTTACCTTGACTGTAAGATCAGATCGTTCCTGTAATTTGTAAGTTTTAGAGAAAAGAAGTCTGATTATCCAGAGTATCAGAATTCCTTCCAAAATAAGATGGTAAGCAGGAGCCTATGAGTGAAATACAAAAAAGAAATGAAATAAACCCTTCTAAAACCTGCACATAACATGTGATGCACCCGCATATACTGCCTCCCATGACCTTTAAACTATTACTTCTTAAAATTTACTTTCAAAGTTCCTTTCATTTCTACGCATTCCTTTTCCCATTTCTAACACTAGGCAATTTCTCCTACACATGGAAAACCTCTAATACTCTATCTTTAAAACTGCAAAATTTTTAAAGGAAAAAAATTAATTTTTAAAATAAAATCTGACACAGAATCCCAATATGTCAAACAACATCAACGATCAGATCCTCCAGGTCATTTAAATTTTTACTGGTGGGAAATGACCGTAACAAACATTTCACAGCTTCACAAGCCTTCTGCCACCCCCATCTACCACGGATGACTTAAGACAGCTACTTGGAAACCAGTTTCCACAATTCTTAAAGAATTTTCCACATCTTAGTATATTTTCTGTACCCCTTTCAAGCCTCTTTAAATCTTTCTTGGAACATGGCAGAGAGAAAAAAAGACTTTATAAATGCTTAAAGGAATAGCAGATATTTTTCTACTGTAGTTCCCCAAAAGTATGTAGTGTTTTCCACGTCAACAGCCATAAAGACGCCATAATGAAACATCCACGTCAGGTCTTCTTTTCAACTCTATGTTTCTAGGATAAAGGCCAGGTTAACTTTTATGTTTTATGCAACTAGACACACTAAGTGCATGTGGAAGATTCCAGATATCAACTAAACCTCAGTCAGTTACAGGGTGCTCTATTCTAATTGGTTGTCACTGGAAAATCATTTAAAAGAGGTATTTAGGGGCCAGCCCTGTGGCCGAGTGGTTAAGTTTGTGCACTCTGCTTCAGCGGCCCAGGGTTTCACCAGTTTGGATCCTGGGTGCGGACATGGCACCACTCATCAAGCCATGCTGAGGCAGCATCCCACATGCCACAACTAGAAGGACATACAACTAGAATATACAACTATGTACTGGGGGGCTTGGGCGAGAAAAACAAGAAAAGAAGATTGGCAACAGATATTAGCTCAGGGCCAATCTTTATAAATAAACAAATAAATAAATGAGACATTTAGAAACAAACAAATTATTTTCAAACATTAGACAGAAAGAAAGCAAGGATGATTCACAACAGTTAAAAAAAACTGCAGCATGTGGAGACAGGAAAACTGCTGACACATTCATATGTAAACTTCCAGGTCAATGTACAAATAACTTTCAAACTACACACATACGTTACATACACACACGGTTATTTCTTTTTTGAGTACACTATACAAGACTCCTCAAGTTCTACATACCCAGTGCATAGAAACTGGGATCGAGAACAGAAATCTTTAAGATGATTTTTTAAAATTGCTGATCCCCCTTGAATATAATTCATTTAAGAACAAGGGCTCTAGTCTAAATATCCTTTTGGTTTTCTCAGTAATTGGATTCTAGCAGACAAACATCTGCCCAAGGCACCAGTTAACCACCCCACTCTATAAAGAAATCATCCTAAGAAAAATTGAGGTACTGTCTAGTGAATTAACAAAAATCACAAATGCGTCTTCTTTTCCTGGAAATGTTACACCCAGGACGACTTCTCCCAAAACTCACTCTCAGTCAATTATGCAGTCTTCAAAAGGGCAACAACAACGTATCACAGAAAATTATTCATTTCTAAAAACAATCATTCAATTTTAGTGGCTCTTATCTTAGTTACTATAATTCAGCTAATGTTGGACATCGCTTATGTCACCTCTGCTCAGTCACCTGTTGTTCAGGAAGTTCTGACAAGTCTTGAAATGGAGGACACCATCACCACCCCTGCCAGTAAGCAGGAATGGTAAGTTTAAATGAAATTATCAAAAGAAGACCAAGATTCACTTAAATGAATGTGAGTTCTCTAAGCACAGGGCCTGCCTCTTGCCTGTTCACTGCACTATTCCCAGTCTAGATCCGTGCTGTCCGATGCCAGAGCCACTAGTCACCATGTAACTAAATATACATCTAAGTGAAATGATATGAAAACTTAGTCCCTCGGTTGCACCTACACACATTTCAAGTGCCTAACAGCCACATGTGGCTACTGTGTTGAATAGCTCAGAGAACACGCAGAAAGTTCTACTGGACAGCACAGCGAAGCTCAGGAAATACATGTCAAATGAATGAACATTCTCTGAGGCTGAGATTCTGATTTCATTATTATCTAACATACCTGAAATAACCAGCCTTTCAAAAACTTCTTAACTACTCTTCCTTTAAAAATCTACTCAAACATCTGTATCTTGACAAGACAGAAAACGGAACATATGCGGAAGAAAGACAAACTATTTCATATTCCTAAATTCTAAATCATTGGGCTTCTTTTCTAACCCCACTCTCCGACAAAAACGGACAAACTCCAACTTATTACAATTCCTTCCCCTATTACCTGCTCCACAGTTCCAAGCACCTGACTCCCCTAGGACCTCCCCAAACTGAGACCTCCCACTCTATTTTCACCACCTCATTCCACCATCCGTCCCAACTCCGGTTTCTGAGGACCAGCCTCTCTCCCGCGCCCCCTCCCACGCGCTCCCTGCCTGCGCCCCGACAGGACCCAGAGCGGGCTCCGCGCCGGCCAGCGCTCAAATCGAGACCCTCGGGGCCGGCTCCCGCCCGTCCCTCCCTACCCTCCGTCGCCGGGACGGTGTTCGCCCCCGAGCCCTTCCAGCGAGGACAGCCGAGGGTGCGGGTGTGACCGACCGAGCCCCCCAGGCCTCCGACCACAAATCCACACGAGCCGTCCCACCTGCCCAGGGTCGGGTGCGGTGTGGGCCCTCGGGCCGCTGAGCTCACCTCGTAGAGCGCCTGTACCATCTCCACAAGCACCCACTGCTCCGCGGCGGTCGCCATAGTCAGCCGCTGGCGCTTCCTTCCGGAAGGCGAGCCGCAAGCACGTCAAGCGGTGCGCGGCGCGGCCTAGTGACGTCTTCACCCCTAGGGGGAGGGGCGGCCGGGCGTTAGGCACCGCCTACTGGCGCTTGCGCACTGGGCGGGAAGCGGGAGGCCTGGGGCTCTATCGTGGAGGCTGTTTTTAGCTTGGGGTCCGTTTTGGTTTCGGGCAGAGACGGGAAACAGCAGGCTGGATCCCCTGGCAGGAGTTCCCACAGGGCGTTGACGTGCTGGGCTCTCGAGATGGAGGGATTAATAATGAATGGCTCTTGCCCTCGCCGGGTAGTTGGGTGCAAGTAGTGTTATAACTTAATCACAAACATAGTCTTTACTTTTAAACTACGTAAGTAATCCAGGAACGGATCATCATAAAAATACAGAAATATAAAGAAAAATAGCCAACTCTTACAGCTGTAGCGCTTATACGTGTTAGGCATAGTTTCAGGCTTTTCAGGTCAGAGCAGTTTGGTGTGCTACCTTCTAGGGCCTTCGGAGGCATAAGCAAACGTGGTGTGCACACACGCTTATTTGGATTGGGTTTCTTAAATATAGCTGGGATCATAAGGACAATATTATTTCACAAGTTGCTTTTTTCTGTTATTTTTTTCTTGTTTTTTTTTTTTTTGGTCTATAAATCTTGTATTTTTAATGGCTGTAGAGGACTATATCTTGGAATAATTTGTTATATATATTTCTCATTCGATTTTATTTAAACATCCTCCTGTTGGTGAACATTTAGGTTTTTTCCACTTTTTCCCCCGTTACAATGCTGCAGTAAATCCATGTGCATGTATCATTCTGTGCTTGTCAAAGTGTTTCTTAGGAAGTTTCCTCAAAGTGTAATTTTAATTAGAGAGTATGAACATTATTAATTTTAATAAATACTGCCATACTGCTCTCCAGAATGGCTCAATCAATTTAAAATGTTTGAAAGTGTATCCACACTCTAGCCCGTGATGGATGTTATCAGTCTCTCTAAAATTTTTGCCAATTTAATGGAGATAAAATGATACCTCACTGAGTTTTATTTTCCATGCTGCTGGTTGTTCATGGGTTGGGCAACTTCCACGAGTCGACATTTCTCTTCATTTACTTATCCAACCGATGTTTACTGAGTATCCACAATGATCGTGAGGACAAAGAAGTGAAAAAAACAGTCAAAAATCTCTTCCTTCCTGGAGTTTATATTCTCCTAAGGGAACTAGAGAGAAGCAAGATGGAGAAGTAGAATATATAGTACCTTACATCATGGGAAATGCTAGAGAGAAAAAAATAAAGCAGGGAAGGGGGATATAAATTGTTGGAGGGGGAAAATTTTAGATAGGATACCAGGGAAGCCTTACTGGGAAGCCGACTTTTGACTTAAATATTAGTTAGAATTGAGGGAGGTAGCCATGCAGATAGCTAATCAATATCTTTGTCGTTTTGCACTGCATACTACAAGGATTTCTCAGCTTCTATGAACTTTGCAGATAGAGGAACTAGCAGGTGCAAAGGCCCTGAGGTTTGAACATTTGCAGAATGTCCAAGGCAGAACGAGGAGGCCCACGTGGCTGGACGTGAGTGAACCAAAAGGAGTGGAGTAGGAGGTAAGGGTAGGAATGAGGAGGGATCCGGGTCTTATGGGGTGTGAGCATCACTCAGGATCTGCCCTTTCCCAGATGACATGAGGGCTGTGGGAGGATTCTGAACAGAGGAGTGACATGCTCTGACTTGCATTTGCCTGGATTGCTCTGCCTGCTGTGTTGAGAATTGACTGATCGCATCAAGGTTAGAAACAGTGGATCAGTCAGGGTCAAACCAGGAAAAATAAGCCACTTCAGTTTTGAGAAAGCAAACCTGACACCTTGCTCTGGGCCAAGTCCTGCTGCACGTCAGGTCTGTCCTGCCTCCAGTTCTTTAGGCAACTTTACTGGTAGTTGCCACCTGAGCAAGCCGCTCTGCTCAGGCACAAGCCGACAGCACCTCCCTCAGCGCATCTTGCATCTCTTCCTTTCTGACCTGGGGCCAATGTGTGGACTTGTCTAGAAGCAGTCCGGCATTTTTGTCCGGATGCAACCAGGACACACCAGGGAGCTGGCACTCTCTGGGGCCCCCCACTCCTCTCTTCCAACTTAACAAATAAACAAAAGCAAACAAACCCTTGTTCTGGCTTTCTTTCCTTTCCTCTCTCACACTCTCTGTCCCCGCTCCTCTACTCTGAGAGCTTGTTCCCAAACCTTGCTGGGGGCACCCCCTTGTCTGAGACTGTGTTTTCTGGGGGGAAACCATTCAATCAAGAAAAGCCTTGCATTTCAGGAGAAACCACAAAACAAACATGCAAACAAGAAACAGGAACACTTGTCTCTTCTTACGATGATCAAGCCTAGCGCTGGTACACTGCCCTGTTTCCTGCACGCTCTAATCCCTAGAGGATAGCCACTTTATTTCTGACTTAACGACCAACACAGATATAATCACCATGTGAGGAAACTGCTGTTTTCCACCAAAGAGAATGAGAAACAAATTGAGTAACTCCTCTGTCTCTTCTTTTCAATAACACTATCAACTTTAACCCAAGAGCCAGCTCTTTTGAGAGCCGGACTCCCTAGCAATTGCAGGGTTTTGTTTGTTTTCTTTTCAACAGTATTTAAAGCAGAGGGATTTTAACAGAGGCAATGGAAGAAGCCAAAAAGAGGTAGAAAAAAAAAAGGGGAGGGCAGCCCAGAGATCCTCACAGCAGGAAGCCAAGAAAGGGGAGGGAGGCAGGCACGATGCTGAGCAGAGCGGAGTGGAGGTGGGGAAAGGATGAGGGTGACTCTGAGGACAGTGGGCCCAGGCCCAGTGTGAGCAGGGAGACTGGTTAAGATCCCCTTACAGGGGCCGCCCCGAGGCCCAGCAGTTAAGTTCGTGTGCTCTGCTTCTGCGTCCCGGGGTTTCACTGGTTTCGATCCTGGGTGCGGATATGGCACCGCTCATCAGGCCACGCTGAGGCGGCGTCCAACATAGCACAACCAGGGGCATTCACAACTAGAATAGACAACTATGTAGCTGGGGGCTTTGGGGAGAAGAAGAAAAGAGAAAAAAAGAAGATTGGCAACAGATTTTAGCTCAGGTGCACATCTTTAAAGAAAAAAAAGACCCCCCCCCCCCCTTACATCAACCCAGGTGATTTGTAGGGATGCAGGCACGGGAGGCTGTAGGGAAATGGTGGCGTGCTGAAGGCTTACTTTGAAATTAAGAGCAAGATTCGCTGATGGACCAGACGAAGGGAGTGAGGAAAAGACAGGAGTCAAGTCCGGAGGAATGAGAAGAATGGCATTGCCAATGACTGAGGCGAGGAAGGAGGCAGGAGGAGCAGGTTTGGGGAGAAATATCAGGTGCTGGGTATGGGATATCTGGGAGTCTGCCAGGGAGATGCCAAGTACCCACTTGCATGAACAGGTTTGGAGAGGAGGGGAGGGATCCGGACCGAAGATGTAAATCTGGGAGTTGTCGTCAGACAGACTGTGCGGTATTTAAACACACTCGATGAGATGCCTAAGGGAGGAATGGAAAAGGAAGAGGCTCAGGGCGGAGCCGCAGGGCAGAGCCAGACAAAGGGCCTGAATGGAGCATCAGGAAGTTCAGAGGAAAACGCAGAGAGCAGAACGTGGTGTCCTGGAAGCCAAAGCAGAAAGTGGTTCAGGGATGAGAGAGTGGCCATCTGTGCAACTGCTGCTGAAAGGCCAAGTAAGAGAGACAAAGAAATGCCCACGGCTCTCGCCATCTAATGATGAAACACTCTGAAAGAACTCAACCAAGAAATGGGCTAAAACTGTGCTGAGGAGACAGGACTTGGTGAAGAGAGTGTGAGGGGCAATGTAAGACACCTGAACCTTCATCCTCCGTAGTAAATTGTTAATGAAACATGGGAAATGAAAACGTCATAAACAGAATAGTATGCTGTTTCAAAATGTGAGGACATTTTCAGAAGAAGTGACTAAAAGAAGTGGTTGCCTTGGGGAAATGGGAATCTGGGGTGGAGAAGCGTGAGCCAGGACTAATGTTTTTTTATTATAAACCTTGTGCTTTTATTTGAATTCTTAAGCTATAATATATGTAATTCTAGGAGAAAAATTAAAATTAAACCAAAATTGTATCTTTAATTGTCCTTTACAATATTCTCCCTAACATGTTTAGCATTACGTGTAAGTCACTGTCGTTAGTGATTTACGTGTATTAAACAGTGGACTAATATCTTACTGTGGATGTGGAATGATTTCTGTTTGGACCCAAAATCAAATAGATTCGTTAACATAATAAAATTAACTCTGGAAATCCCTTAAATCTCCATTTCTCTACAGTATATCAAACGTGGTTTGCATACACACCCTTGAATCCATTCCTGCAACTCTTCCTTAGATAAAGTTTCTGAAGGCTTCTCAATTCATTATTATTTTTGTTTATTGTAGGGGAATAAAGTTGAGTTACTCAGACTGCTAAGTGCATAATACTTACGGTCTATTGACTCATCCATCTGTTCACTTCCCCCTTTTGTCCCAGGTCCCCCCTCCCACTCCCAGCCCATGTCCTTCTGGACACCCACTCTAATGTCTTGAAGTACACTTGCAGCCTTGCAAAATATGCAGTGACAATCATTGTTCAAATCATTCATGAAAAATTGAAAAAGTGAGGTTCAGGTCATCGCTGGATAGCTGTGGTCCTATGGCTCAGCAAAGCCACCAAAGACTCTAGTTCTTCTGAGATCTTTGCTTCGCTACCCAGAGTATTAATTCTTTTTAAGATCAATATCAAGATCATTTTAAGACCAGTTCCCCTCACTGGCTGTAAGACAGCAGCCAATGGTAAGTAGTTCTGCGTGACTCCATGTTCATGTCCAGGTGAAGAGAGAGACTGGTTTCCTGAAGGTTTTTTTTTCCCTGAGCTAACATCTGCGCCAGTCTTCCTCTCTCTCATGTGTGGGTTGCTGCCACAGCATGGCCACCAATGAGTGGTGTAGGTCCAGATCCAGGAACTGAACCCAGGCCGCTGAATTGGAGCATGCTGAACTTAACCACT